ACTATACCATGTTGAGTAAATCTTGTATGATATTTTTTGTGTTGGCAAACAAAGGAGTAGTAACTAAGGGTGTGTGTGAGTGTGTGTGTGTGTGTGTGTGTGTGTGGGTGTGTGTCAACAGAGAGAGAGAAAGAGAGGGGGGGGGAGAGAGAGACTCAGAGGTTGAAGGTGTTTGTGTGCGAGTCGAGAAACATATATATATGGTAAATATACTGTATTTATTCATCTCTGTCTGCCAGCCTCAAACATTGTGCTCTTGATCTGACTTAGGCCTAAGCTACAACACTCACGAGTCACATTCCGAAAAAGTGCACCAATAGATTGTTGTTAAGGGCTTAGCCCGCTTGAATAAAGAACAAGATGACATATTTCGGATTAAACGAAAAATCTGTTTGGAATAACCTTCATTAACTGGCCTGTATCATTCAAAGTGTCAAATATGATGTCTAAATAAAATAGAAGGAAAAATACCAAACAATTTGTCAAAAATGAGTAAGTCTTGATTGGAATGCAGAGTTGTATTGGAATGAGAGTTGTATTGAGCCGTCTGTTGGATGACATACTTTTTTGTATTTGTTTTGGAACAAAGGGCCTCTACTGTTGGTTGATCAGATAATTTTCAATTATAGTAATTATTTTGAGATGTATTATACTGGCATGTATTCATGTATTAAAGTCACAATTCCACATGGGCCTCTTGTGATCTTGCGATTTCCAAAGTGACAAACGATAACACGAAGGGATGGGCCTGCACTCCACATAGATAGCCCTATAGCCTAGCCCTTGCACCCAGTTCAGTTTTATTTCTGTGTTATTTGAAAATAAGTGAATAATATTTGATTTGTTAGAGTGAAATCGTTTTCCGTTACTTTATGCGAAACATATCTCCTTAGCCAAGGCTGTATGCCCATCTGTGCCAAGCTGGCGTGCAACGCAGGAGCGGGCAGCGCTGGCTGAGATGAGACCAGCAGGGCCGAGATGCAACACATAGCAAAGGAAAGGGTGAAATTAATGATTTACCTGGAAGAGACAATACATTTTTAGGACATGTGTAATTCGTATGTAATTGTTTGGTTACACGTAAATCTCAGCAAATGGATTGCGCAAATGGCCCATGGCGTGCGCATGAATCAGACAAGCTCACAAAATATGTAAAATCACGACGCAGACTACGTTTTCAATTATTTCAATCTAGCTGTTGAAAATAATTTGTGCTGTAGGCTATATTATACGATTATTTTCATAAAAACAAATTGGGTACCACGGACCTATATCAAAACTATAGGCCTACAGATGTGGCCTACCAACGTGCTACATGACATGTGTTCTACATTTGACCTACCATGGTACAGGCTTAGTACATGACAAAAAATCGGAACTCATGTTTTAAATTTCGCAACACACTCTTAACCATCTTCATGCTTTGCGCATAGGCCTATACAGGCATTCCCTCCAAATGTCATGCAAACGCTCTCATGTAGAAAAACAAGTATAATGGGTAGACAATGGAATGAGGTTAATGCACACATATGTGTGTGTTTGCATTTCACCGATCAAAAGTTTAAAAGAAGAACTTCAACTGCCAGAATATTTCACTCTTAATGAGATATCTTCGTATGCAGGCATGAGATGTCCTTTGGGCTGTACGATTGTGTTGGCTGTATACCCGGGCGCGGTATCAGTTATAGGCTATACCCGCACAAAGTACTCGATAAGATATTTGTAACTTTGTGCAAGTATTCTCCAGAATAAGAAGATTGAAATGCCCTTTGTGCTTGGAACCAGGGTGGCAGGTAGCCTAGCGGTTAAGAGCGTTGGTCTAGTAACTGAAAGGTCTCTGGTTTGAATCCCTGAGCCGACTATATGAAAAATCTGTCGATGTGCCCTTGCGCAAGGCACTTAACCCTAATTTGCTCCAGGGGCGCCGTACTACTATGGCTAACCCTGTAAAACAACACATTTCACTGCATCTATAAGGTGTATCCCTTACTAAAAAAATAGCAGTTTTTCTCTGTAGCTCAGCTGGTAGAGCACGGCGCTTGTAACGCCAAGGTAGTGGGTTCGATCCCCGGGACCACCCATAGGCTACACAAAAATGTATGCACGCACGACTGTAAGTCGCTTTGGATAAAAGCGTCTGCTAAATGGCATATTATTATTATTATTATTATTAAACTGTGTCGACTGTGGTATTTTGGACGAAGTAATTGCAGAATAACTGCAGCATACTGCAGTTGAACTGCAGTTATACTGCACTGTAACTGCAGTCACACTGCAAAATTACTGCAGTAAAAAAAAAGGTGTTATTTTGAACGCAGCATACTGCAGTTATACTGCACTCTGACTGCAATTTTTTTACGTAAGGGATTTGACAATAAAACATTTATTTTGACCCTAATTGCTCCTGTAAGTCGCTCTGTATAAGAACGTCTGCTAAATGACTAAAATAGAAAATGGGACCATTTCTGTTGGTTTTGTCAGTGAGATGATATGTTGAAAAATACTATAAAAGTTATTCTGATTGATTAAATATTAGCCTAATGTTTGTTGCTTATTTATTGGCCCACGGAAAAAGTAGCCTATCTACCCGAAATAGTATCGAGGTTGAAATTAGTTGTGGTTATAAAAGTCAGTCCATAGCCTACTTTTGTGTCTGCCTCCAAAATGAGGCAGAATCATTGGGTACAGGCCTATACCTATCTTTCGGTCTGAACGTAATCCTGTAGGCCAAGGTACCTCGGCCTTGTTCTCCATTGCTGAGAATCAGGATGTGACATAGGCTTACGTTTTTCCTCTCTCTTTACCTCTTTACCTCTTTAACTCCCAAACACTCATGGGTGTAGATACCTTCATGTTGACACACCTCGAAGGTCCATGTCAGTTTACATAGCTCAGGAATCGGGGACCCATAAATCATTGTCTGGCAGGTGTGTTAGCGGGGAGGCAAATGAGGATTAGCGCATGGCCGACCTGTCAGGAAGTTGTGCAGTAAGGGAGGTAGCACTGAGGTGTGTGTGGTTTGAACTAGGGCCGCTAGGATATGCGAGATTTATGGGCTATGATTACATGATGTCATCATATATCAGTATAGAACAGACTACTAGGTTACCTTTACTTTTAATAATAAGAAAAATTATAATTATAAGAAAAATTATAAGAATAATTCTATACTTGTTAGTTTTATGGTTCTTTATTTGTATATCTATTAACTTTGTTCAGCCAAATAAAATTATATGAATCAGCACAATTCAACTTTCTGTCATTGAATAAACAAGTTCATTCAACCAATTATTCCGTTTCTCAGGATGATGAAATTAACTTCTGAAACCCTACTTCTTCAAAGAGTATCTTTAATAATGGCACGTGTCATTTCCTACTAGCGCTGACTTTGCTGATAACTTCATTAAAAATGTACTTACTACGACTGTGATATGTGGTTGTCTCACCTATAGCTATATTAAGATGAATGCACTAACTGTAAATCGCTCTGGTAAATGACCAAAATGTAAAATGTAATTATGTAAATGCAAATAGTGTGGGATTAAAACCGTCACATGCTCTTGAACCCTGCAGTTTTGGTGTGCAGAATATTTATCTCCCAATCTAATTAGACCGTCGTGAGACATGCTACTTTTACCCTACTGATAAAGAGTACTGTAATTAATGATGAGCAACTGGAATAAAAAAAGAGGACAATGCTTAATTCCTGAATTTTTTAAAAGTATTTTGAAATACATCGGTAGGCTAAATAAATAATCCCCAAACAGTTATTTTATAACTGGTTTGAGGGTAATTCCGCAGATGTAGGTCTATATGGTATATACTGTAGCTGAATAATAAGGTGGGCCTGCATGAAGCTATGAGGATGATGAACGGAAACTGATCAAAACCATGTTAGAAAGTAGTTACTAATTAAATTAGGCTACACACACAATGAATATGTATGCTACGTGATACAGGTACTACGTGGTATCTGTGCACATAAACGTAGTATATTATGTAATATATGACCACCAATTTAGTAATTTAGGTCAAGAAAATAAAAGTCTAAATTTGTTGTTGTGATGCAATTTCGTTCATCAATGCATCATGGGTATTTCATTGCTTATTAGTAGTAGTATTACTAAGTTAATTAAGTTATTATTATCATTTTGTTATCATTATGATCACAAGAATGGTTAATGACACAATTACAATTCAGCCCTTACAAAAAAAGATTGCCGTTTTGAAACTGCAGTAAAAGTATAGTGACTGTGCAGTTGACTGTGGTAGGGCAGCATGCAGTAATACTGCACTCTTAACTGCAATCTTTTTTCGGAAGGGAAAAGTCTAAAAATGAAAAAAAAAAAGAATGAAAAAAGGACATCCATATAAAGGTAGTTAAGGCTCGAATCAAACACGACTGGCTTCGAGATATAATATGCCTGATATGTTTTTAATGTTTGATTTCTCTCTTAATAAACAATCAGTTTTAGAACAATTAGAAAATAAGTACATTTTTAACAAGAGTTCAATTGTTACTGTCTCTGCCACAGTTCACGTTAAGGTCATAAGTACAAAACAAACCTTCAAATCGATATTTCAGTCGGATATATGTCCACACTCTATCTCTATGTTTCGAAAAGTGCTGAAAATAAATCTTACCGTTACCCTACAACCGCAGCAAGAAAAGAAAAGCAGTAAGGGAGTTATTCGAAATGTCGCTTGGGGCTCTGATATCTCCAATGCTCGTAGTATACATAGGAACACAGATGTTGTAGGCCCCCTCTGGAAGGTTTACACTCCATACAATCTGAAACAATGGCCTAGTGTCATCACTATACCAAGAAAAGTGACATGTTCAGTCTAGACACCATGAGGCAGTTCAAATGATTGACATAACTCACATAAGCAGTTCTGAGTTCATTTAATCTCTCCTGATTTCTTCATAAAAAGTCAATAAAGCAAATGCCTCGATTTCCTGATGGGGGAAAATAAATACAAAGTAGGCTATTCAATTCTCATTGATTCCCAGCACAAGTAGAGAGTGTCCATGCCGGGAGGCAATAGGCGTAGGGGTAGTAATACGACGGCTGGAGAGCAAGGAGCGGAGGCCGCAGTAGTTCTCCGGGGTTGTACTGTCTCTGGTCGTCCCGAACTAACACTTTCACAGCCACTTTCTTTGCTGCAGGGGCCGAGGCCATCAAGTCGGCAGCCATTTGACGACGTTTTGTTTTATATCTGCGGTTCTGGAACCATATTTTGACCTGCGTCTCTGTCAGCTTCAGGGAGGCGGCCAGGTCTGCTCTCTCCGGTCCGGATAGGTATCTTTGGTGATTGAACCTCCGCTCGAGCTCGAAGACTTGCGCGTGGGAGAACGCAGCCCTTGAGCGTTTTTTCCTCTGTTTGGGCTGATCCGAACTTTTATCACAACTGGCCTCGTCTAGGTTGTTGGAATCTGAAAGAAGAAATGGTGCATTTGATGTACTATGAACAATGAAAACCATCGCTTTTCTTAGACCACACAAGATGGAATAGTCATATAGGCCCTAGCTCTGAAAATGTATCCAAGGCTGTCTGAAAACGAACCTCACACCTTCATAAATCATCATGGCCATATACACACGTTAATGGAATATATATACATTGAAATGAGGCCTAAATATGAGTGTATGCCATGACATTACGCACGAGGCAGCAGGATGTTAAGGCAGAGCATCCTGCGAGTAAAATAGCCTAATGTTTACACCACATAGGCGAAATGATTTGAAGGGATTAGCCTTGGATGTTCCCCATAAAGTATTTTTAGAATATTACATTAAATTATGCTTTCAATTGATGTGTTTACAGACTTTTTCCCGATATGTCTCAATAAAAGATAAATGTGTAACTTACCCGAAACATTAGGTTCACAGTCACTAAGACCTTTTGCGTTATCGACAGCAGTGGATTCATGGTCCGTTTCGTCCTGCAAACTTTCTTCCAGCACGTCTGAAGCAGGATCCCTGTTTTTCTCTGACTTGCAAACGGCCAGCGTCTTGCTGTCATTGTCATCACTGAGACCTGAATCCGAGTCGTAACTTTTCTGGTCGCTGGCCATGCAAGCACCCTCGTCACTTCTACACGCCGCGGGAAAGTCCTCCGAACCAGTATCCATTTCCCCAAATATTTTCCAACACGCAGTCTTCGAGAAGCAGATGTCCAAATCTGGCAAGTGTCGACTGTCCTCTTTTTTGTTCAAAATGGATTGGATAGAGAAAGGCATCAAGGAGTTGCTGCGAACGGCCATTTCAAAAAGCAAAGTTTATTGTCTTTTAAAATTCGTAGATATGGACCAATGTCAAATCATCCGCATGGTATCCCCCCTGAAGCGCTATTACTGCTTTTTTGTACCTCCCAGATTTGGTATCTCATTGCATTCCCACTGAAAAAGCGATGGAAATACTGCGTTCAGCCTATTTCCCGAGGCACGATGCTTCTCCTCCGTATAGCTCTCGCATTAGCCTAAGCTTTCTCTCTTTTCCTGCCCTTTTCACACAGATCCACTATCCAACCTCACCTGTGACAGACAGCGATCCTTCTCCATTTCCTATTGGACAAGAGGAGAGGAAAGTCGCGTGGTGATTGGTCACTGTAAATTACGACACGCTCACGTCCTGTCTGGCAATAAATATGTTTTTAAAAGGTTAACCCCTCACCAGCCAAACGGGCTGTTGTATATCAAACCATGAAAATAAAATCATCCCTTGAAATGACAGTAGCCTAGCCTATGTTTGTCTTTAGCCAACACACACCAATAGATACGCATACACAACTGTTGCCAATGTTAGTCATAATAATGAGAACTTCGAGGTTGATAGTAATACAGCTGTCAGTCTACCTGGGTGGCTGTTGTTCTGCGCCTTCTCCCTATCCATACATAGGTTTACGGTTTGCTCTATAGACGACGTTTTGTTTTGACGTTTTTGACGACGACCTTGGCCTTGAATCTATACTGTAGATACCAACCACCTGAACCACAGGTAAGCTTCACTCGGTGTCAAATGTATTCCATTAATGTTGATAACTCCTAATAACTGTAAAACGAAGAAGAGTTATATTGTAGGGATTATTTGCTTAATGTCTGAAGTTCTTTCTGAGGAGCATCTTCCCGTGAAATAATGATGTAGGCTACATGCTTCTCCTCCTGTATGTTGCAGCGTTATACAGCAAATGCCTAAAGCATCATTTAATTTCAATGCATGCACATTATGTTTTTCAGGGTTTGCCACATTTAGGCCTAGGCCTATAGGCTTCCAGACCTCCGGTTTCGGCGACATGATCTGTGGGCCTATAGGCGGCACATTGCAGCCCATTGAGGTAGGAGGAATAATGATTTTCTCAATGGCAATTGATCGAATTGACGTCTTAATAAATTCGTCCAAGATGTATCATTGATCTTGTTTAATTCAGCTATAACCTAGCGGTTAAGAGCGTTGGGCAAGTAAATGAAAGGTCGCTGGTAGTTATTGTTATAGGCGTACATAATATAATTTTTATCGTGATGATAGTAAGACATTAATAAACATCAACAACATTCATTCAGCGCACAATGCACGAATTAACCTATATTTATGAGCAGACCGCGAGCGTGAATATTCGAATGCCTCAGCGGTCCCCATAATATAGGCCTACGACTTATAGCCATGTAACTGAAGCGTTTATCCACTATCCGCTTTTACATTGACTCATATTTGTGTTGATTGAAAGTTAGTAGGCCAAGAACTGATGCACTATTAACACTAGATACAGGTAATGTATCAGCTGATCTTTTACATATAAAAAAAACAACAAGTAAATCAATACAATAGGCAACCAATGAAAACACATAAAAGGTGTAACTGGTATTTGTGAATGTCTTCTTGCCCAAAAAATCAATCGAGTTATGCGCGGTATATGCTTAGGCCTATGTAATTTATTACATTGACTCATAATTCTTACATAGGTAAGCCTTGATTAATAATATATTTTATTGGCATAACGTAGAGCGTAATGTTGAATAAACAGGGCTTTTTAGATTTATTTTGAATATCAACCGTTCAACAGAATCATAATAGGGTCATTGGCCTTGAATCTGATCCTATCAATTCAGATATTTGCAGTTGTAGTATTTCCTCTCTAAATAGCTTCCTCATGTTGATAACAGTTTGATTATTGCAATAGTTTGCAGTGATCTAAATATCAGCATGAACCCACTGAATATGAAGTGAAGTCATATGCCTAGAAAATGTATAGGACAATTGATGACAAGCATATGTTATGAGTGTGTAATCCTATCATACTTAGGCTCATTTTAAAAATATTAAAGGTTTCTCAATTGTCATGTTGATCAATGATGTCATTGGCAGACCTTTTGCATGTATATGTCCTACCACCTAGTGGTCACGGAGTATACTACATTTGCATTTGCATATGTGGCATCCTTGACTTTTCCCATTCCAATATGATGATCACCACATGATAGTAGATGTTGTTGTTGGGAGGTTGATAAATCAGGGATGTAATAGAATTCTTCTTTTAATAAAGTTTTCTGAGATAATGAAATTATACTCAAGAAATCCTTATAAAAATACTGTTACTTACTACTGTCCATGCAGTTAGACAACCTAGTGAAAACACTGGCAGGCTGAAGTACATATAGGACCATTCCTGCTGTGCAACTGCATGGACCCTGCACCTGGATTAGAAAGGGACCTCATTTTCCTTTTTTACGTCATTTAAAAAGACAGCCTTTGTGTACAGACAATTGATTGTTCGTTGTGCTACTTTTGCATGTTTATGACCATATCATTTGAAAAAGAAAAAGAAAGCCGCACACTCTAGTAGCTCAGATGCAATAATTTAATAACCTAATAACCAACGTTTCGACAGACAAGCTGTCTTCATCAGGGTATATGACCATATCATGACATATGATCCTTGCAAAAAGTTGACTGCTGATCTCACAACTCCTTCCTTACAGAAATAACCCCAGCTGATTTAAGACTTAAAGTCTGACTTAGTCTTGAAGAGTGTTTAAAAGGTTTTGTAATGAGTCTTCCCTGCTTTAGCCACTGAATGAGGGTAAAGAGAAGCTAAGAGAGAATAAGATGGAAAATGGGTCAAATTGAGAGTTTGTTCACGTGCCAGAGGTCCACAAAAGAGGAACTCACCCTGGCTATCAATACAATGTCAACCAGGACTCCCTGGGCTCCAGGGTGTTTAGATAACCAAACTGGGATGAGTAATAGAAAGTAAGTAGCTGTAAGTGACAGGAAAACTAAACAGTGCAACAGCAGTTTGCTGTACAGCGAGACAATAAGTGATGCATAGTAAGTGATATGCAATAAAAGCTTCAGCGTGTGTATGCATAGAGCAAAGCAAGATTAATGTCACAGATGGATAAAAGCATTTCTTTGCAAAAGAAAATATTTCACGGCACTCAAAGGAAAAATCTAGCTCTAATGAATTCATCTCAAATCGGCGTACCAACTCGTGGTTCAAATTTTGACAGCATTTTAAGAATTGGCAGAAGTGGTCAAATAACTCATTGGAAATAAATCAAATGTCCCACATCAATTTCACATATCCTTCCAGACCATCAACAAAAGCATACTTGTCCCTTTTCAGAGTTTAGCTTCTCCTCTGCCATTTAATTTGTGGGTGTGGGACTTATGTGCAATTAGGTATAAATATAAATATATATGTGAAGAGAGTCAAAACCGCCCAGACACATGGGCTCTCTAGGATCTGGTTTGGGAAACTATATAGAAACCCCATCGTTTTTGAGTAAATGCCTGTTTGTAAGGTCCACATCATGCTCTCTAGCCTATAGAGGGATACTCAGGGACAGCCGAGGTAGATTAAATAAAATGGGTCCCTCTGCTGGCTGGGAAAGACACTGACATGGAGGTGGTGTCTGGGACCCACAGGTAAGTTTGGGCTTTGTGTCATTCAGATGTAGGATCTTAATTTGACCACCCTGTTGCAGGAGAACTTTCCTGCAATGCAGGACATTTAAAACTTGTAGTGTATTTGAGGTTTAAAAAGGCTTCTGAGTCGAGTCGCACAAAATGGAATATAATGTGGCGGATAAAGTTCGGAATGACACAATTTCATGTGTACAACATCTAAAGACCTGCATCACTATACTGAGAGCGTTGTATTTGGGTGTTTTTGTTCATGTTTTATCTAAGCACTGCAGAACGAGCATAAGAAAGTGTATCGCTGGTTGGGGTAAGTTTCTCAAACCCAAGTGAAATCTAAACAAAAGTGTCTGGACTCTTCTATAACATGCCATTTACATCCAAAATACAGATTTAGTTCAAATAAAGTGAACTTCTCCTTTAAACATTGCAGATTGCACCTTTAATGGTTATTATATGTAATCATCATTTCAATTATCATCGTTATATTCAATTACAATGATGGCAGATCATTCTGTGTGTTGGTGTTATGGAGAGTTGACATAATGATGTATTAATTTGTCCACAGATTTAATTTTCACTTCCTGAATACCTCCTCGGTGTGATGTAAGGGAGAAAACTACCACACTCCCTCAATACATCCTCAGTGTGATGTAAGGGAGAAAACTACCACACTCCCTCAATACATCCTCAGTGTGATGTAAGGGAGAAAACTACCACAAAACCATTACTCAAGACAAATGTATACTGGGTTAACATGGCGTGAGAGTGGTTGTGTCTCCTTATTTCTACACAGCATATAACTTTAACCGTATGTTTTTAACAGAAATCCTGGTTAATCGAGCCGCATGACAGAACCATGGTAACATCTCTGTTTCCCATCCTCTCCAGGGTGTGTTTATGACAGGTCCTGAACCTTTGCGTGCTGGTATGAGGAAGGAGGCTTGCAGCACGCCATTCTCCCCCTCTCTTACGAGAACCGCTGCCAAATTGCATTCAGATGGAGCAATACATGAGAGGGCACTGCCAAGAGTCATTTGCAATAAATGCTTCCAAAAGGTCCTCTGCATTTCTCACCAAATATCAGATCTACCATGATAGCCACCCTTAATCAACTTCGACATTAAGAAGCGGAGGAAGTGCGCCACCGACTATAAGTATGCTTTTAGTCACCTAAGTAACAATTCAAACCCCCTTTTTTTTCTCAAGAAACATTATCCTTGCATGCGATGAACCACTAAATGGAAGAACCCTATGGATAGCACACACCTAATATTGTAAATGGAACCAAGAGACAAGGGAAGAGCAGGCCTAGCTGTGCCCTCCTCCTCTTGGAAGTTATTCAAAACAACTCAGCATTGGCTACATTACTCGGCCCACACTCAAAGCACAGGAGCACTTTTTAGTGGGGGGATAGCCCACTGTTACAGTCCAATTCATTTGTGTAGATAGCGCAGACATGATTTATAGTGGATTTTCAGGCATGTTCTACTGACAAACGAGCTCCCATCTGCCTTCAGCACGCAATAGACAATCCATGCAACTCAAGCACATTCATGCAAGGCTTCTCTTTAGTCAAGGGCCTTGTTGCCTAAATGCCTCTGCGACTATTCTCTTTCTCCTCTGCTCACGCTTCAATAAAAATGTCCTTCAAAAGAAAACAAGCCTTTCATGAATGTTATGTCAGATGTACTTCTTTTGAATATACACAGAGGTTTATCTGGTTATCAAGGCTTCAAGGACCATTTAGACGTTCTAGAATTAACCAAGGATAGTTGGACTGAGGTGACTTAGACTGTATATTACCACTTTGTGGCTCAATACTGCTCATATGGCGGACTTATTATATACAGTGCATTCGGAAAGTATTCAGACCCCTCGACTTTTTCCACATTTTGTTACAGCCTTATTCTAAAATGGATTAAATAATTTTTTCCCCCTCATCAATCTACACACAATACCCCAAAATGACAAAGCGAAAACAGGTTTCTATAAATTTTTGCAAGTTTTATATAAGTATTCAGACCCTTTGCTATGAGACTGGAAATGGAGCTCAGGTGCATCCTGTTTCCATTGATCATCCTTGAGATGTTTCTACATCTTGATTGGAATCCACCTGTGGTAAATTCAATTGATTGGACATGATTTGGAAAGGCACACACCTGTCTATATAAGGTCCCACAGTTGACAGTGCATGTCAGAGCAAAAACCAGGCCAAGATGTCGAAGGAATCGGGGGAGAAGGGTCTTGGTCAGGGAGGTGCCCAAGAACCCGATGGTCACTCTGACCAAGCTCCAGAGTTCCTCTGTGGAGAGGGGAGAACCTTCCAGAAGGACAAACATCTCTTCAGCACTCCACCAATCAGGCATTTATGGTAGAGTGGCCAGACGGAAGCCACTCTTCAGTAAATGGCACATGACAGCCCACTTGGAGTTTGCCAAAACGCACCTAAAGACTCTCAGACCATGAGAAACAAGATTCTCTGGTCTGATGAAACCAAGATTGAACTCTTTGGCCTGAATGACAAGTGTCACGTCTGGAGGAAACCTTGCACCATCTCTACGGTGAAGCATGGTGGTGGCAGCATCATGCTGTGGGAATGTTTTTCAGCGGCATGGACTGGGAGACTAGTCAGGATCGAGGGAAAGATGAACGGAGCAAAGTACAGAGAGATCCTTGATGAAAACCTGCTCCAGAACGCTCAGGACCTCAGACTGGGGCGAAGGTTCACCTTCCAACAGGACAACGACCCTAAGCACACAGCCAAGACAACGCAGGAGTGGCTCTGGGACAAGTCTCAGAGTGTCCTTTAGTGGCCCAGCCAGAGTCCGGATTTGAACCCAATCGAACATCTCTGGAGAAACCTGAAAATAGCTGTGCAGTGACGCTCCCCATCCAACCTGACAGAGCTTGAGAGGATCTGCAGAGAAGAACGGGAGAAACTCCCCAAATACTGGTGTGCCAAGCTTGTAGCGTCATACCCAAGAAGACTCGACACTGTAATCACTGCTGTAAAAACATTTCTAAAAACCTGTTTTTGTTTTGTCAGTATGGGGTATTGTGTATAGATTGATGAGAAAAACAGAAATGTAACCCATTTTAGAATAAGGCTGAACGTAACAAAATGTGGAAAAAGTCAAGGGGTCTGAATACTTTCCGAATGCACTGTACATTCTTTTATGGTTATCTAGACTTTGTAAGCTTCTAGAGGTCCCACATTGTCCATGCCCCTATGCCACCATGTCTTTGCATCTCCTATGTTGGTCAGTGGAGAAAGTTCTTACGACATTATTTTTAATGATGATACAAGATTCACTCGAGGTCCCTGGGTGTGGTCAGTAGTGGCCAGCAGCATATTATTATGGTTACCACTAACCTAATCTTTGATCTGTTTCTTCTGTGTTGTGTTTCCTATGACACTTTCTTGTCTCTCCAAAAAGCGGCCAGCGATGGAGTGCTGTGGTGACATGGCTCAAAAACCCAGTCACGCTAGAGTCAGGGGCTTAACCTCTCTCTTTGTCTTAACCATGGTATTTTAAGATTTCTTTTAAAGCCTCTACTCTTCTTGGCTGCCCGTCTCCATTTCTGTGACTCTCATATGAAACACTTCTGACGTTAAACACCTGTTAACTTTTATGTCTTGTGAGCGGAGCGGCTGAATGGGAGGCCATTATATTCAGTGCCAGTCGCCTTGGCTAAATCCCAGTAGAGGAAAGACCACTCCCAATATGGAGGGGCTACGGGAGTGAGCCCCCTTATTCCAAACAGCCGAGCTAGGCAGTCTGGGAGGATCTCTCCTCTGTTCAAATCTAATATGCCTTTTATTTCACTTGACAGCTAAGATGAAACCACAGGCTTTCCATAGTGCACTCCAGGATAAACCACATGGCTAACCAAGAGACTAGCCTAACCTTGCCGACACTCATATCAAGTCACAACAGGAGAAGCAAAGCTCTCCAATCTTAAGGATGCGATAAGGATAAGTGATATGGAGAACCTTTTGTAACAAAGTAAGTCTGGCGACATCAAGGTGGTTTAAAAAGTGGGGATCTGGTTTCAAAGGATCCCCCTATCATGTGTTAACATTGTGACCGTTGCTGAATTAAACAAATAAGGCAGGGCTCAAACCACCCGGTTTATAATTAAGCAATAAGGCCAGAGGAGGTGTGGTATATGACCAATATACCACGGCTAAGGGCTGTTCTTATGCACGACGCAACGCGGAGTGCCTGGACACAGCCCTTAGCCGTGGTATATTGGCCATATACCACAAACCCCAGAGGTGCCTTATTGCTATTATAAACTGGTTACCAAAGCAATTAGAGCAGTGAAAATAAATGTTTTGTCATACCCATGGTGTACGGTCTGATATACCATGGCTGTCAGCCAATCAGCATTCAGGGCTTGAACCACCCAGTTTATAATGTCTGTTAGATCATGACTGCACTGTACCAACCTAGCCGTCTCCACAATAGTACCGAACACATAGATCCTATTAACTGATGTTTTATATGTAATTCTATGACCTTACATTACAGTCCCCATTGTCCCAAAGTCCCAAATTGTCAGTCGTTTCAGACAGCCAGTCATTAGAAAACAAAAGACACCTGGTTACACCAATGATATCAAATCACAGAAAGGGGTGTTGTTTGTCTGCCAGGACCAGTGGCTAAATGAAAACGGATCCAAAAACGTTTAAAAAAAATTGCTGTTAAGCTAATATTTAGGGACTGGATTCCAGTACCAGGAAATACCTGTGCAGAACTCCTTAAAGAATCGGATTTAGCATTCCGCAAGACCGGTCGGAAAACTCCATCCAGCATCTTCAAAAACCTCCAGCTTTTCATGGCCCTTGTCGATGCCTTTGGATTTCGTAGGCTCAGGTGCAGTAATTATTTAAATCCTTGTAATGTGTTAACGATCGTGGCATATTTCATTCTTAGCGTGTTAGTTTATTCCCTATTAGTAACCAGGAATGTCCTCTCCCCTCAGCCGATAGGTTGACTTCAGCTATGTACACGTTACAGATAGCACATCCATTCACACAACGCCTCCACTGAAAAATAACAGTTGAGAGACTTAACTGCACAGCGGTTAAAACATCGGTGGTACACACAGTAGCACTACCTCACCTTAAAGGGGCAATCCGCAGTTGAAACAATAACAAAGCTTAACTTACAGTTGTTCAACATGCAAACTGGATTAGACGGCACTTCATGAGTGTTACCAGATGTGGAAGATTTTACAATGGAGTTTAAATGTGTGAAAATATGATGGTGAGTACTAGAATTACGCATACGCAAAGTGTGAAGTGTAACATGCGTCATGTGTTTTGAATTTCACATGTAATAATGTCCTGCAACATATCTTCCAATATAATCAAAAACAAATGTTCAGTCAATAAGTGAGGAAAGAGTCCCACACACGCCAATTGTTCACCATTTGAAAGGAATTTAATCTCTTCCAATACTGACAACAGGGCATAAGCAAAACTAGAAATCACTTAAATGGGGAAAGTAGTTAGGAGCACAGACGGATCTGTGTAGTAAAAAACAAAATAACATAGAAAAAAAAACACAGGGAGAAGACAAACGCATCCTTTACATTCATAGAATGGATACTTCCATGTTCAAGTCCAGTAACAGGAAGAGGCTTCTGGATACGGAAACAATGAGCAAAAACATAACAAATTGTGAAAGCACTTGTGAGACTATACCCAGGTTAATAGCTCTATAAAAATCTATATGAATGATATCTATATGGATCTATAGGTCAAAGAAATATAAAACCTTTGAACGTGATGTAGGAACGGCAAATCCTTGGAGTGACCAACAAAGACAGAAGTCGATTTGTCAGTGACAAAGAATTTCCAGTAACCTCTCCTAGGATTAAAGTCAATGAGCCTCTCCACATAAGACCTATGATTGGTCTCTAATGCTCTGTTTCATGAGGTATTATTAGCTAACATCTTTAAATGACCAGTGCAATCTAAAACATATGGGCCCATGGTGAAGGGTCTATAATACTGTATAGAAATGGAAAGCACCATGAGCTAAATCCAGGTTAGGTGAATGTTTGGTGAACCACCACTGCTAGACCATACTGTCATACCATCCCCAAATATTGCTATCCAACACATCCACAGGCTTGAATAGAGGGGTGGGGTTCAAACTAATACTTGAAAATATGTACCGGTATGTATTATGTGAAGTGTTGCTAAAAACAAAGAAGCATTCAAAAGTCAAATAATATGTCAACAGCGCTGTGAATATTCTAATACCTGGGCTTGGGGAAAGCCGGTATTTGTTTATCGCTTGGTCCTTTTGGAAGGGGGCTCCTCAGATTTTTGTCCACCTCTGGTACGCACTGCTGGGGGGCTAGCTTCACGTTTACGCCCCACTGCCTTGGCTGGCACAGAGACCTGTCCTCTCGTCCCACTGGAGGGTAATAACAGGTAAGCAAGAGTATGCAGTAACACACATATAGAACGACATATTGACAGTATATTAGAGGGTCATGTCAAGAAACATGTAAATCCTGTAATGTAAAGACAATTGTAAGAGGTCTCTTATAAAACTAGTTTGCTAGATCCTATATAGCATTTCAGCAAATAATCATACCGTTTATACAAATTAACAAGGATACACACAGTACCAATTTTTTTTTTTTTTTTTTTTTTTTGTCATTTAACAGACGCTCTTATCCAGAGCAATCCGGAGCAATTAGGGTTAAGTGCCTTGCTCAAGGGCACATCGACAGATTTTTCACCTAGTCGGCTCGGGGATTAGAACCAGCGACCTTTCGGTTACTGGCACAATGCTCTTAACCACTAAGCTACCTGTCCAAGAGATGAGCATAGCCTGTCACACACGCAAGCATATACACACACACAAAAACCTACCGTGTGTTTGCTGTGTTCTCCTCTTCACCCCGAGCTCGGGTGGAAGGTTTCCTTGGTTTGTTCCTGGAGAAAATACAAATGGAAAGCAAGACCAAAATCATTGAGTGCACTGCCTTCTTGCAACTTCAGTGCCAGACACCCCAACAAGATAGATGGACAGAATTTGATTCCTTTTCCATTATTATTTAATTATGAATGTTTCAGAAGATGGTTAAGGGCAATGCAACACCAGTTGCCTTTTTATTTGCGGTGGTTAGATGAAACGGATACACTCCCACTGTTGTCAATACTGTATGCAACATATCATGTATGAAAGGTATTATGTAGTTCAATGACTAGTTACTTTGAGATGATTTAGACATTACATTTAAAGTATGCTAACTGAGGGACATTGACTTCCTTATGTTGTGGAAAAATACAAAAATATGCTAATATTAGTAGTTGTTGGCAGTAGCTAGTTTAACAAAACCCAAGTGTGGATTGCAGTCTCTCCTTGTCCAATGAATATATACATTTGTAATTTGTCTGAACTAACCTTTAAGCACTAAGTCAGCCGTGTTCTAGAATCTACTCGTCGAACATCTCATTCCAAAATCATGGACATTAATATGGAGTTGGTCCCCCCTTTGCAGCCTCCACTCTTCTGGGAAGGCTTTCCACTAGATGTTGGAACCTTGCTGCGGGGACTTGCTTCCATTTAGCCACATGAGCATTAGTGAGGTCGGGCACTCATGTTGTGCGATAAGGCCTGGCTAGAAGTCGGCGTTCCAATTCATCCCAAAGGTGTTCGATGGGGTTGAGGTCAGGGCGCTGTGCAGGCCAGTCAAGTTCTTCCACACCGATCTCGACAAACCATTTCTGTATGGACCTCGCTTTGTGCACGGGGGCATTGTCATGCTGAAACAGGAAAAGGCCTTCCCCAAACTGTTGCCACAAAGTTGGAAGCACAGAATCATCTAGAATGTCGTTATAGTGTTAAGATTTCCCTTCACTGGAACTAAAGAGCCTGAACCATAAAAAACAGCCCCAGACCATTATTCCTCCTCCACCCTACTTTACAGTTGCCACTATTAATTGGGGCAGGCTTTACACCACTCCAGCCGATGCTTGGCATTGCGCATGGTGATCTTAGGCATGAAGCTCCCGTCAAACAGTTATTGTGCTAACGTTGCTTCCAGAGGCAGTTTGGAACTTGGTAGAGAGTGTTGCAACCGAGGACAATTATTTTTATGCGCTGCGCGCTTCAGCACTCAGCGGTCCTATTCTGTGAGCTTGTGTGGCCTACCACTTCGCGGCTGAGCCGTTGTTGCTCCAATAACAGCACTTACAGTTGACTGGAACAGCTCTAGCAGGGCAGAAATTTGACGAACTGACTTGTTGGAAAGGTGGCATCCTATGACGGTGCCACGTTGAAAGTCACTGAGCTCTTCAATACGGGCAATTCTACTGTCAATGTTTGTCTATGGAGATTGCATGGCTGTGTGCTCGATTTTATGCACCTGTCAGCAACGGGTGTGGCTGAAATAGCCGAATCCACTAATTTGAAGGGGTGTCTACATACTTTTGGCCACATAGTGTATATCATGCACTGCATGTCATGTGACATGTCGTTACCTCTCAGCCTCAAGGCGAACAGCAGCTCGAGTCGCAGTTCTGGTTTTGGGAGTCTCTTTCTCCTCATCTTCCTCTTTTTGTTCGCTCTCTTTCTTGTCTGGCTTTTTGTCGGTCTTCTCAGATACGGTATTTTCTGTTTACAACGAAAAAGTGTGCATGGTCACACGGTAGTCAAAAAGCACGGTGGTGTTAATAGATGCAACAACGTTGCAACCGCTCTCATTTCTAACCCAGTTTAACCTGCTCCTATGAGAGTAAACTGTAATGAATACATACATGTATGAGTTCAGAGTTCTCCAACAGCCATTGATAAATGTTTTGTCAAGTTACAAAATGAATTTCCATGGAGATGGGCATAACAATACTGCATTATATCCTCCTAACTACCCAGACCCCCTGAGTCATACCTGGTTCCTCTGACGTTGATGTTGCTCCCTTCGAGGGCCTTCCCCTACGAGCAGGTTTCTTCTGAGGCCTGTCTTGGTCCTCCTCATCCTGGTAGAGTCCCATCGGGGGAAGAAAATCAATTCAAACACCATTTTGGTTAGTTTGAGACTGATCAAAACCATTCAAAGATTAGGTATAATATTATTATTTTTATATATTCTTTTAAGGGGGTAGATCAGCTTTATTTTTTCAGATAGATTGTAACTTCCAATGTAATTGTCTGCATCACTTCCAATCCCCCATATGTTTTTTTTATCTCGCAAATATATACAGTGGGGAGAACAAGTATTTGATACACTGCCGATTTTGCAGGTTTTCCTACTTACAAAGCATGTAGAGGTCTGTAATTTTTAAAAAATCCAGAAAATCACATTGTATGATTTTTAAGTAATTCATTTGCATTGTATTGCATGACATAAGTATTTGATACATCAGAAAAGCAGAACTTAATATTTGGTACAGAAACCTTTGTTTGCAATTACAGAGATCATACGTTTCCTGTAGGTCTTGACCAGGTTTGCACACACTGCAGCAGGGATTTAGGCCCACTCCTCCATACAGACCTTCTCCAGATCCTTCAGGTTTCGGGGCTGTCGCTGGGCAATACGGACTTTCAGCTCCCTCCAAAGATGTTTTATTGGGTTCAGGTCTGGAGACTGGCTAGACCACTCCAGGACCTTGATATGCTTCTTACGGAGCCACTCCTTAGTTGCCCTGGCTGTGTGTTTCGGGTCGTTGTCATGCTGGAAGACCCAGCCACGACCCATCTTCAATGCTCTTACTGAGGGAAGGAGGTTGTTGGCCAAGATCTCGCGATACATGGCCCCATCCATCCTCCCCTCAATATGGTGCAGTCGTCCTGTCCCCTTTGCAGAAAAGCATCCCCAAATAATTATGTTTCCACCTCCATGCTTCACGGTTGGGATGGTGTTCTTGGGGTTGTACTCATCCTTCTTCTTCCTCCAAACACGGCGAGTGGAGTTTAGACCAAAAAGCTCTATTTTTGTCTCATCAGACCACATGACCTTCTCCCATTCCTCCTCTGGATCATCCAGATGGTCATTGGCAAACTTCAGACGGGCCTGGACATGCGCTGGCTTGAGCAGGGGGACCTTGCGTGCGCTGCAGGATTTTAATCCATGACGGCGTAGTGTGTTACTAATGGTTTTCTTTGAGACTGTGGTCCCAGCTCTCTTCAGGTCATTGACTAGGTCCTGCCGTGTAGTTCTGGGCTGATCCCTCACCTTCCTCATGATCATTGATGCCCCACGAGGTGAGATCTTGCATGGAGCCCCAGACCGAGGGTGATTGACCGTCATCTTGAACTTCTTCCATTTTCTAATAATTGCGCCAACAGTTGTTGCCTTCTCACCAAGCTGCTTCCCTATTGTCCTGTAGCCCATCCCAGCCTTGTGCAGGTCTACAATTTTATCCCTGATGTCCTTACACAGCTCTCTGGTCTTGTCCATTGTGGAGAGGTTGGAGTCTGTTTGATTGAGTGTGTGGACAGGTGTATTTTATAGAGGTAACGAGTTCAAACAGGTGCAGTTAATACAGGTAATGAGTGGAGAACAGGAGGGCTTCTTAAAGAAAAACTAACAGGTCTGTGAGAGACGGAATTCTTACTGGTTGGTAGGTGATCAAATACTTATGTCATGCAATAAAACGCAAATTAATTATTTAAAAATCATACAATGTGATTTTCTGGATTTTTGTTTTAGATTCCGTCTCTCACAGTTGAAGTGTACCTATGATAAAAATTACAGACCTCTACATGCTTTTTAAGTAGGAAAACCTGCAAAATCGGCAGTGTATCAAATACTTGTTCTCCCCACTGTGTGTGTGTGTGTGTGTGTGTATATACAGTGGGGAAAAAAAGTATTTAGTCAGCCAGCAATTGTGCAAGTTCTCCCACTTAAAAAGATGAGAGAGGCCTGTAATTTTCATCATAGGTACACGTCAACTATGACAGACAAATTGAGGAAAAAAATCCAGAAAATCACATTGTAGGATTTTTTATGAATTTATTTGCAAATCATGGTGGAAAATAAGTATTTTTGGGCACCTACAAACAAGCAAGATTTCTGGCTCTCACAGACCTGTAACTTCTTCTTTAAGAGGCTCCTCTGTCCTCCACTCGTTACCTGTATTAATGGCACCTGTTTGTACTTGTTATCAGTATAAAAGACACCTGTCCACAACCTCAAACAGTCCACACTCCAAACTCCACTATGGTCAAGACCAAAGAGCTGTCAACGGACACCAGAAACAAAATTGTAGACCTGCACCATGCTGGGAAGACTGAATCTGCAATAGGTAAGCAGCTTGGTTTGAAGAAATCAACTGTGGGGAGCAATTATTAGGAAATGGAAGACATACAAACCACTGATAATCTCCCTCGATCTGGGGCTCCACGCAAATCTCACCCCGTGGGGGTCAAAAGGATCCACAAGAACGGTGAGCAAAAATCCCAGAAACCCAAACACAGGGGGACCTAGTGAATGACCCGCAGAGATCTGGGACCAAAGTAACAAAAAGCCTAACCATCAGTAACAACACTACGGGCCGTCATGGGACTCAAATCCTGCGTGTCAACGTGTCCCCCTGCTTAAGTCATACTGTCCTCAGGCCCGTCTGAAGGTTGCTAGATGCATTGAATGTCCTAGAGCTGGGTGTCCTCATCCTCTTTTGTTCCTCCTCAAAGAATGCTGATTCATCCAAGAACCATCCATATATCAGCTGGTGTTCCTTTCCTCTGTACCTTAAAAGATTAGGTATAATTTTTATTAATTTTTATATATTCTTTTAAGGGGTAGATCAGCTTTATTTTTTTCAGATAGATTGTACTTCCAATGTAATTGTCTGCATCACTTCCATCCCCCCATATGTTTTTTTTATCTCGCAAATATATACAGTGGGGAGAACAAGTATTTGATACACTGCCGATTTTGCAGGTTTCCTACTTACAAAGCATGTAGAGTCTGTAATTTTTAAAAATCCAGAAAATCACATTGTATGATTTTTAAGTAATTCATTTGCATTGTATTGCATGACATAAGTATTTGATACATCAGAAAAGCAGAACTTAATATTTGGTACAGAAACCTTTGTTTGCAATTACAGAGATCATACGTTTCCTGTAGGTCTTGACCAGGTTTGCACACACTGCAGCAGGGATTTAGGCCCACTCCTCCATACAGACCTTCTCCAGATCCTTCAGGTTTCGGGGCTGTCGCTGGGCAATACGGACTTTCAGCTCCCTCCAAAGATGTTTTATTGGGTTTCAGGTCTGGAGACTGGCTAGACCACTCCAGGACCTTGATATGCTTCTTACGGAGCCACTCCTTAGTTGCCCTGGCTGTGTGTTTCGGGTCGTTGTCATGCTGGAAGACCCAGCCACGACCCATCTTCAATGCTCTTACTGAGGGAAGGAGGTTGTTGGCCAAGATCTCGCGATACATGGCCCCATCCATCCTCCCCTCAATATGGTGCAGTCGTCCTGTCCCCTTTGCAGAAAAGCATCCCCAAATAATTATGTTTCCACCTCCATGCTTCACGGTTGGGATGGTGTTCTTGGGGTTGTACTCATCCTTCTTCTTCCCTCCAAACACGGCGAGTGGAGTTTAGACCAAAAAGCTCTATTTTTGTCTCATCAGACCACATGACCTTCTCCCATTCCTCCTCTGGATCATCCAGATGGTCATTGGCAACTTCAGACGGGCCTGGACATGCGCTGGCTTGAGCAGGGGGACCTTGCGTGCGCTGCAGGATTTTAATCCATGACGGCGTAGTGTGTTTAACTAATGGTTTTCTTTTGAGACTGTGGTCCCAGCTCTCTTCAGGTCATTGACTAGGTCCTGCCGTGTAGTTCTGGGCTGATCCCTCACCTTCCTCATGATCATTGATGCCCCACGAGGTGAAGATCTTTGCATGGAGCCCCAGACCGAGGGTGATTGACCGTCATCTTGAACTTCTTCCATTTTCTAATAATTGCGCCAACAGTTTTTTGCCTTCTCACCAAGCTGCTTCCCTATTGTCCTGTAGCCCATCCCAGCCTTGTGCAGGTCTACAATTTTATCCCTGATGTCCTTACACAGCTCTCTGGTCTTGTCCATTGTGGAGAGGTTGGAGTCTGTTTGATTGAGTGTGTGGACAGGTGTATTTTATAGAGGTAACGAGTTCAACAGGTGCAGTTAATACAGGTAATGAGTGGAGAACAGGAGGGCTTCTTAAAGAAAAACTAACAGGTCTGTGAGAGACGGAATTCTTACTGGTTGGTAGGTGATCAAATACTTATGTTTATGCAATAAAACGCAAATTAATTATTTAAAAATCATACAATGTGATTTTCTGGATTTTTGTTTTAGATTCCGTCTCTCACAGTTGAAGTGTACCTATGAATAAAATTACAGACCTCTACATGCTTTTTAAGTAGGAAAACTGCAAAATCGGCAGTGTATCAAATACTTTTTTCCCCACTGTAGTGTTAAAATATATATATATATATTATGTATATTAGTATTCTATGTATATTAGTATTTATCTAAAATCAGTTTGACTGTGCATGTTCTCTACATACCTCATCTGTTTTGTTGTCACTGGAGCCCTGTTTTCTCCCCTCCTGGTCGTCACACCGGCTCACTGAAAAAGAGAAGAAGAAAGGGAGAGAGAAGAAGTTGAAAAAAATGACATGGCATGAGTTAATGGACCACAGTGTGTGGAAGTAAACGCATTGCATCTCTTCTCACCGCTATCCTCTCCAGGTTGTTTCTCCTCTTGTTCCTTCAGGTCACTTTCCTGGCTCTCCATCTCATCAGGCTGGGTCTCCTCCTCCTCCTCCTCCTCCTCAGGCTGGTTCTCCTCCTCCTCCTCCTCCTCCTCAGGCTGGGTCTCCTCCTCCTCCCCTCCTCCTCAGGCTGGGTCTCCTCCTCCTCCATCTCCTCAGGCTGGGTCTCCTCCTCCTCCTCCTCCTCAGGCTGGGTCTCCTCCTCCTCCTCCTCCTCAGGCTGGGTCTCCTTCTCCTCCTCCTCAGGCTGGGTCTCCTTCTCCTCCTCCTCAGGCTGGGTCTCCTCCTCCTCCTCAGGCCTGGTCTCCTCCTCCTCCTCAGGCCTGGTCTCCTCCTCCTCCTCAGGCCTGGTCTCCTCCTCCTCCTCCTCAGGCCTGGTCTCCTCCACCTCCTCAGGCCGGGTCTCCTCCACCTCCTCAGGCTGGGTCTCCTCCACCTCCTCAGGCTGGGTCTCCTCCACCGCCTCAGGCTGGGTCTCCTCCACCGCCTCAGGCTGGGTCTCCTCCACCTCCTCAGGCTGGGTCTCCTCCACCTCCTCAGGCTGGGTCTCCTCCACCTCCTCAGGCTGGCTCCCCTTCAACAGAATCAAAGCTCACTTTAAAAACACACACCTCTCTGTCAATGGGAGGACAAATTGCTAGTGAAAGACAAACGGTTCCATTTTATTCTCAGGGGCCTTCCTCTAGCCAGCTCCTCTGTGTTCATAGATCTAAAATGGACTGGATAAGTGTAAGCAATAAGGTGATGGCTGCACCTAGCCCTCCAATAAGCTACATGGAGCATTTCCCATATAACTCATGTATCCAGCCCTTCCAGATATGAGGTCTGCAGGGGTAGAGACTGGGGATCAAAGAGGAACCAGGCCATGGCTCAGTAAACCTTGTAGGTCAATGAAGCAAAATGGCCTCACCTCCCCTGATTCCTCAGGCCTCTTCCTCTTCACTGCAGGTTTGCCTAAGAGAAAGAGACCGTTACTGTAACAAATGCCAGACCAAGCTTTCCTGAGTTCTGTATTAACTCCCCTCCGTGCACTTAGAAAGTGCATTGACAATGATAGCTTTTCATAGTTGTTGACAGACAATCACTTTTAACATCCAATCATGCATCATAAAAGTATTTGGATCTTGCATTAAGATTATATTGTGGATTGAATAAAGTAAAAAATAAAAATAAAAAAAAGAGTTTGAAACTCACGAGAATCAGTGGTCTCCTTGGAATCAGAGCTTTCTGCATCTTCTTTAGTCTCTGGCTTGGAGATTGGAGGTTTAGCTGGTCTTCCCCGTCGACTGCCTCTCTTCTGCTCACTCTTCTCCTCCTGGTCTTTTTGAAGAGGGGGATGAATCTGATACAACAACCAAAAAACAAACAGAGCCCTTATCTGAATTACTGAGTCAATCAGCTGTTAACAAGTGATCTGTGTGGCCATATAGATAGTTGATGTTGACCTGCTCCCCTCATGTTTCAATCACTCTGAATGGGACCGCCCCCCCTGCTGAATGAGACCGCCCCCCCCTGCTGAATGAGACCGCCCCACCTGCTGAATGAGACCGCCCCACCTGCTGAATGGATGAAGGTCTATGCCAAACTTTAATCAAACTGATCATGTCTACTGAACTTACCTCCTGTTTCTCCTTTTCCGCTGATGTCTCTCCTGCTCTCTCTTCCTCTTCTTTCTCCTGGTTTCCTGTGTAGGGAAGTAATACGTTTATTTGGTGTGAAATGTGTTGATAATGACTAAGAATGTAACAATGGAATAATTGAGGGGCACACAGGAAGAAGATGATGAACTTGGCATGCATCTTAGTTATCACCCATCTCACTATCAGAAACGAGAGATTGGAGGTACTAAATAGGCCTAGCACAGAGTGGGACTATGGAAGCATTTAGCTGTTGAATTTCCAAATGGCTGTGGTGGAACCTCTTACCTGTGGTGGAGTCTTTGGCCTGGGCACCTGACCGTCTGCCTCTGCGAGGCGGGGTCTCCTCCACTTTCTCAGGCTGTATAGAGAACAACATCCAACATGGTTACCTCACAGCCTCAACTCACATACCTCATCAACATACAATCCACACAGGTAGAAGGGGCGTGAGCAGTGAAGGATGATATAACCTCTTTAAGTTCCTCCTCATCCGCCGAGGTTTTAGATGAGCGTCCTCTGCGTGGCGTTCTGGATTCTGTGGCCTTTTCTCCCTCATTGTCCTACAATAGCAAACCATATGAGCAAGGATATTAGGGCAATATAACATTACATAATGCATGCACTTATTCAGATAACTGCCAAAATAAATTAAACACCAACATAAAGTGTCTTAATAGGGCGTTGGACCATCAGAACAGCTTCAATACACCTTGGCATATATTCTACAAGTGTCTGGAACTCTATTGGAGGGATGCAACACCGTTCCTCCACAAGAAATTCCATCATTTGGTGTTTTGTTGATGGTGGTAGAAAATGCTGTCTCAGGCGCCGCTCTAGGATCTCCCATAAGTGTTCAATTGGGTTGAGATCTGGTGACTGAGATGGCCATGGCATATGGTTTACATCGTTTTCATGCTCATCAAACCATTCAGTGACCGCTCGTGCCCTGTGGATGGGGGCATTGTCATCCTATGGGGGCATAGCCATGGTGGCCAAAATAATGGCCTGCCCAGCATTTTTATACATGACCCTAAGCATGATGCAGTGTTAATTCCTTAATTAACTCAGGAACCACACCTGTGTGGAAGCACCTGCTTTCAATATACTTTATATCCCTCATTTACTCAAGTGTTTCCATTGTTTTAGCAGTGACCCATAGGCAGTGGCATTTTTACTACCAAATGCAAGTACTGATAGGTACTTACTTTACTCACGTCCACAGACAGCTTGGACTGCTGCTCTCGACTGTCCTTTTCATTTTTCTCCGTACCTGATAAATTGCAGATAGGACACAAGATTTACAAACTCTGATGGACTTCACAATCTGAGATGATGAGAAGCTGGCCAAATGTCACGTGAACGAGTTATAAAAGAATACCAAAACATTAATTATATTCATTCTTCAGTTGTTAACACCGATTTATCTAAATGAATGTACCGGAGTCTTTGGCTGTGGTAGCTTTCTGACCGGACAGCCTTCCTTTGCGGATTACTCTTCCCTCCATTTTGTCCTCCTGAACAAGGAACAAGGTTCCAAACAAATTCAGAGCATGTATTTTTCCTAAATAAAGATTATGTGCTGCCATAAGATAAAATGTTACACTCGGTCATAGAGGGCAGATAATTACCATTTCAGACAGGTCGGATTCTTTCTCGTCCTCTTGTCTGTCTGACTTGGATGCATTGCCTGCAACAAACAATCAACATCAAAGCTGTTCCTCAGACATATAAACAGAAAGAGAGACGACACAAAAAAGTGAAGGAAAAAAAACAAACAAGTAAAGATCAAAGAAGAACAGCATGACACAAAAACAGCTGTAGAAATAAAGCTCAGAGACTCACTGGCTTGTTTGACCAGCTTTGACTGCCGACCACGTCGAGTCTCCCTTGGTTTTTCAGGTGTGTCAGACTTCACCTGAAATACACATATACAGGTCAACAGAGGAAAGCAGTAAGTTACTTAAGTGTTCACAAAATGAAACCAGAAAAGACCATGGTGCTCTTGCAAAACATGTGTGCTAAACTGCCAAGAGTGAGTACTTACCGACTCAGGGGCTCCCCTTTCCTGTTGTGCTTCAGTCTGGTCTTTATCTGAGAGTGGAAGGAGGAGAGATCACCTTTTAAACAGTCTTTTGAGGACTGGAGTTACACAAAGTCAAAACTATATGCAACGGGGTTATGAAAGTGCATTGGCATTCAGGTCTAAAATCTATACATAAGCTTGGATATTAAAAGCACTTGTTTTTTTGTTTTTTACAGTTGGTTTGGTTGTGGGGGTTGGAACTGTTAGCAAAACACAGTCAGTCCCCCTTCTATACCAAATTAGGTTAAATGAGGTACCACCCTGCATCCCACCGCTTGCTTGCTTCTGAAGCTAAGCAGGGTCAGTCCTGGTTGGTCCCTGGATGGACCAGATGCTGCTGGAAGTAGTGTTGGAGGGCCAGTAGGGGGCACTCTTTCCTCTGGTCTAAGGAGATCCCAATACCCCAGGGCAGTGAATGGGACATTGCCCTGCGTAGGGTGCCGTCTTTCGGATGGGAAGTGTCCTGACTCTGTGGTCATAAAAAATTCCATGGCACTTATTGTAAGACCCCAGTGTTAACCCCAGTGTCATGGCTAAATTCCCAACCTGGTCCAATTCCATCATGGCCACCTAATCATCCCCCTCATTGGCATATATCACTCTCCACCTGATAGCTGATGTGTGGTGAGCGTTATGGCACAAACATGGTCGCTGTGGGTGCTACACATTGGTGGTGGATGAGGTGAGTTTCCCCCTACTATGTAAAGCACTTTGAGCATCTCAGTTGGTAGAAAAGCACTATATATATCCAATCAATTATTATTATCATATTTCTATAAGAAGAATATACACTGAGTGTACAAAACATTATGAACACCTTCCTAATATTGAGTTGCACCCCCTTTGGCCCTCAGAAGAGCCTCAATTCATCGGGGCATGGACTCTACAAGGTGTTGAAAGCATTCCACAGGGATACTGACCCATGTTGACTCCAATGCTTCCCACAGTTGTGTCAAGTTGGCTGGATGTCCTTTGGGTGGTGGACCATTCTTGATATACACGGGAAACTGTTGAGCGTGAAAAACCCAGCAGCGTTGCAGTTCTTCACACACTCAAACCGGTGCGCCTGGCCCCTACTACCATACCCTGTTCAAAGGCACTTAAATCTTTTGTCTTGCCCATCCATCCTCTGAATGGCACACATACACAATCCATGTCTCAATTGTCTCAAGGCTTAACAATCCTTATTTGACCTGTCTCCTCCCCTTCATCTACACTGATTGAAGTGGATTTAACAAGTGACATCAATAAGGGATCATAGCTTTCACCTGGATTCACCTGATCAGTTAATGTCATGGAAAGAGCAAGATAATGTTTTGTCAAAGAATATTAAGGACCGGTATTTGAATACTATTGCAGTTGTGCATGACTTACTAATGTTATCAATGTCCGTCTTGACCTGACACTCATGTTCCATGGCCAGCAGTTCTGTTTTCTCAGGCTGAGTCTCATCTAAGCAAAAACATAGATTAGCAAATTTAGACACAAAAAAAACTAACAGAGAGCACAAACTTTATTTTTTGGGAGGAACTGAAAAACCCCCAAAATGCAGGAAAATCTGGAAACTTAGCAGTGCATTCGGAAAGTATTCAGACCACATCCCTTTTTCCTCATTTTGTTACGTTACAGACTTATTCTAAAATTGATTAAATTAATGTTTTTCCTCATCAATCTACACACAATATGAACTGCCTGAAATTTGCTGGACCCAGGAAGAGTAGCTGCTGCCTTGGCAGCAGCTAATGGGGATCCATAATAAATAGAAATACAAATACCCCATAATGACAAAGCGAAAACTGCTATTTCAACATTTTTGCAAATTTATAAAAAATTAAAAACAGAAATGCCTTCTTTACATAAGTATACAGACCCTTTGCTATGAGACTCAAAATTCAGCTCAGATGCATCCTGTTTCCATTGATCATCCTTGAGACGTTTCCACCTGTGGTAAATTCAATTGACTGGACATGATTTGGAAAGGCACACACCTGTCTATATAAGGTCCCATGGTTGACAGTGCATGTCAGAGCAAAAACCAAGCCATGAGGTCAAAGGAATTGTCCGTAGAGCTCTGAGACAGGATTGTGTCAAGGCACAGATCTGGGAAAGGGTACCAAAACATTTCTGCAGCATTGAAGGTCCCCAAGAACACAGTGGCCTCCATCGCTCTTAAATGGAAGAAGTTTGGAACCACCAAGACTCTTTCTAGAGCTGGCCGCCCGGCCAAACTGAGCAATAGGGGGAGAAGGGTCTTGGTCAGGGAGGTGACCAAGTCACTCTGACAGAGCTTCAGCTTACTCTGTGGAGATGAGGGGAGAACCTTCCAGAAGGACAACCATCTCTGCAGCACTCCACCAATCAGTCCTTTATGGTAGAGTGGCCAGACGGAAGCCACTCCTCAGTAAAAGGCACGTGACAGCCCGCTTGGAGTTTGCCAAAAGGCACCTAAAGGACTCTCAGACCACGAGAAACAAGATTCTCTGGTCTGATGAAACCAAGATTGAACTCTTTAGCCTGAATGCCAAGCGTCACGTCTGGAGGAAACCTGGCACCATCCCTACGGTGAAGCATGGTGGTGGCTGCATCATGTTGTTGGGATGTTTTTCAGCTGCAGGGACTGGGACACTAGTCAGGATCGAGGGAAAGATGAACGGAGCAAAGTACAGAGAGATCCTTGATGAAAACCTGCTCCAGAGCGCTCAGGACCTCAGACTGGAGCGGTTCAACTTCCAACAGAACAACGACCTTAAGCACAGTGGCTTTGGGACAAGTCTCTGAATGTCCTTGAGTGGCCCAGCCAGAGCCCGGACTTGAACCCGATCAAACATCTCTGGAAAGACCTGAAAATAGCTGTGCAGCGACGCTCCCCATCCAACCTGACAGAGCTTGAGAGGATCTGCAGAGAAGAATGGGAGAACCTCCCCAAATATTTACATTTACATTAGTCATTTAGCAGACGCTCTTATCCAGAGCGACTTACAGTTAGTGAGTGCATACATTTTTCATACTGGCCCCCCGTGGGAATCGAACCCACAACCCTGGCATTGCAAGCGCCATGCTCTACCAACTGAGCTACAGGTGTGCCAAGCTTGTAGCGTCATACCCAAGAAGACTCGAGGCTGTAATCGCTGCCAAACGTGCTTCAACAAAGTACTGAGTAAAGGGTCTGAATACTTAAGTATATGTGATATAAGTTATTTTTATTTGTAATACATTTGGAGAAATTTCTAAAAACCTGTTTTTTCTTCGTCATTATGGGGTATTGTGTGTAGATTGATGACGGAAAACAACAATTTAATCAATTTTAGAATAAGGCTGTAATGTAACAAAATGTGGAAAAAGTCAAGGGGTCTGAATACATTCCGAATGCACTCTACCTTGTTTGTCGAATGATGGTCCCAATACAGGCTCTTGCTTAGGAACAACAGCATGGCCTGGGTTTTCCTCATCTATGTCAACAGTAGCTTTTTTTTCCTTTGAAAGAGTTGGAACAAAGTTAGATGCTCTCAAAGTCTGAGTAACATTTAACTGATATTTATATTATAGAACTAGAATGAAATAGAAACACCATTCTCACCTGTGACATCCCTTCAACTAATGTCCATGTTGACACCTCCGTATCTTTCACCTCTGTGCCAGGAACATCTGTGGCGAGAACATCTGTGGCGAGAACATCTGTGGAGAGAACATGGACTGTAATGTAACTAACAATAAGTACTCCAAAAACTCTCCATTGGCTTGTGATACTAAAAGAAGAACTGACCAGATAACTGTTTTCACAAGACACATTACCTTGGCTCCTTGAATGTTCATCCATTTTCTCTGATGACGAGGCAGTAGCTGTTAGGTCACTTTCGTCCATTTCCAGAACATGCTCAGAATCTTCCTGATCTTTTGCAACAGGTGTAGTAGTTTCCTTCTGCTGCAGAGCAGGTGTGGTCACCTCTGTGGCTTCTTGTGCAGCTGGAGTGACTAAGCTAGGAGATAGTATACTCTCAGGGTCCATGGAGAGCAGGGTCAGAGCTGCCTCTTTCATCTTTATGTCCGCTTCTTGGAAGGAGAGCTCTGGGCAGGCGTCTCGCTGCATGGTCCCAGTGATGTCACTTCCTTGGCCTAGTCTTGCATCTGCTGAGGTACAGATGTCCATCAAAGTCAGAAGAGCATCTGCCCCAGTTGTCAAAGGACGTGGTTCCACCTCCCTGAGTGGCATTTCACTGTCATCATCCTCCAGTTCAGGGGTGACGTCACTCAAAGCATCATAGGTAACAGAGGCAGAGGTGGTAATGGTGGCATCGGTGGCATCCCAGTCTGTGCTTGTGTCTTTGGATTGAGGGCCTTTCTTCAGAGGAGGTTCTGTAATATCTGGAACAGGTGAGGAGATTGAGGAGGTTGAGGACCTTGATGACTTATCTGATTTTTCATCTGCTTTACGTCCTTTTCTCTCATCCTGGGTCTCTTTCTTCTTCTCTGGGTTTTGAACCTTTTTCTCAACCATTTCCTTCCCACTCTTGCCTTCCGTTTTTTCTGGTGGGTTTTCCTCAGTGTCCTTCCTTTGCTCCTTCACGCTTCCCTCTCTTTTTCTTTCCTTTGAGGCGTCAGGTCTACTGCCGGATGTGCCACCTTTGTTTTTGACCTCCAAACCTTGAGCTTTCTTATCCTCCCTTGACTTGGATCTGGACTTTTCCATGACCTTTACCTTCATTCCAGGCTCTGTCTCCCTGGACTTTCTGGAATCTTTGTCAGTTTCAGAGCTGGACTTACTTGGTTTCTGGTTTTCCTGAGTAACATGTTCTGTTCTGGGTTTCTCCTTCTCACTGTCGGGCTTAGACTTGGGTTTTTCTACATGCTTGTCCTCTGTGTGGCTCTTTGACCTCTTGAGGACTTCTTTGGGGTGTTTATCCTTTTTCTTGATGGTTTCTGATCCAGGCTCCATGTCAGACCTTTCCTCAGAAGAGCCGGTGGAATCCGGGCGGAGTAACTGCCTGGGGTCACTTTTTACTGGAATCTTCTCTCCTTTAGTCTTTTCCCTCTCCTTATCTTTCTCCCTTTCCTTCTCATTTTCCCTGTTCTTTTCCTTCTCAACTTTGGCAGCTTCAACTGATAGAACCTTCCCCTTCTTGGTTGTGGCTTCCCTGCTAGCCCCCTCGTCAGAGGCACCTCCTTCTGACACAGACGCCCTACCTTCCCTGGCATTCACTGACACTTTCTTGTCACCTTTGACCTTGGACTTTCTCTCCCCTTTGTCATCAGAGGATACTTCAATGTGGGCCCCTTCATTCTGCTCAGGTTCATCTGTGAGGGATTCACCTCCTACTCTCTTCTCCAACTTTTGCTTAAGCTTGGTGCGCTCGTCCGACAGGCTACACTCTTTCTCTTTGCGCTCTTTAGGGTTTAACTCCTTGCGGGAAAGCCGGTCAAACTTTCCAGCAGGTCGCTGCTTGAGTGGCGACTCAGACCCCTGCTCCAAGTCCAGGATAAAGGAATGTGTCCGGCTTTTGTCTGTCAGCTTTCTAGGTTCTCCAGATTCCTCAGAAGTGCTAACACTCTTCCTCCTGTGCCTCTCTTCTGATGCTGCAGACTCAGAGACTTTTGTGATTGACTTGGGCTGCAAGCTCTTTGAGGAAATACCCTTTGCTTCCTGTTTGTGAGGTAGCAGAGCAATACATTAGCATACAATTCTAAAATAAGTTATTTATTTAATTCAATAAACAACATTTAATTCATTAAACCAATGGCCAAGGTGAGCATACAGTCACGTTTGGATTTTCATTCAACACTTACTTCCTTTTTGTTGAACTCTCCTGCTGCATCTCCCTTTCTCTTGCCTGTAACATCTCCCTCGTTCCTGAAAAATGTAAATGACTTTAGTGACATGGCCATGTATCCAGTAACTCACAAACTCAAGCATCCACAGGTCCACACAATTACAAACACACACACACCGTGAGTCCCACTTCCTCTTCCTACTGAGGGCCATCTTCTTCTCAAGAACCTTCTTTTCCTTGAGAGCCTCTTTGGCCCTGGGATCCTGAGCTTCCAGGCTGAGGGAAGAGGTCTGCCGCCTTCTCTCTGTACAGGGAGTTAACATCACAGAGTGAATGGACCATTACCGCACCCTCAGCATTTAAAAAAACATACAGCACCAGTCAAAAGTTTGGACACACCTACTCATTCAAGGGTTTTTCTTTATTTTTTTACTATTTTCTACATTGTAGAATAATAGTGAAGACATCAAAACTATGAAATAACATATGGAATTATGTAGTAACCAAAAAAGTGTTAAACAAATCAAAATATATTTTATATTTGAGATTCTTCAAAGTAGCCACCCTTTGCCTTGATGACAGCTTTGCACACTCTTGGCATTCTCTCAACCAGCTTCATGAGGTAGTCACCTGGAATGCATTTCAATTAACAGGTGTGCCTTCTTAAAAGTTAATTTGTGGAATTACTTTCCTTCTTAATGCGTTTGAGCCAATCAGTTGTGTTGTGACAAGGTAGGGGGGTATACAGAAGATAGCCCTATTTGGTAAAAGACCAAGTCCATATTATGGCAAGAACAGCTCAAATAAGCAAAGAGAAACGACAGTCCATCATTACTTTAAGACATGAAGGTCAGTCAATATGGAACATTTCAAGAACTTTGAAAGTTTCTTCAAGTGCAGTCGCAAAAACCATCAAGCGCTATGATGAAACTGGCCTTATGAGGACCGCAACAGGAATGGAAGACCCAGAGTTACCTCTGTTGCAGAGGATAAGTTCATTAGAGTTACCAGCCTCAGAAATTGCAGCCCAAATAAATGCTTCACAGAGTTCAAGTAACAGACACATCTCAACATCAACTATTCAGAGGAGACTGCGTGAATCAGGCCTTCATTGTCGAATTGCTGCAAAGAAACCACTACTAAAGAACACCAATAAGAAGAAAAGACCTGCTTGGGCCAAGAAACACAAGCAATGGACATTAGACCGGTGGAAATGTGTCCTTTGGTCTGGAGTCCAAATTTGAGATTTTTGGTTCCAAACGCTGTGTCTTTGTGAGACACGGTGTGGGTGAACAGATGATCTTTGTCTGTGTATTTCCCACCGTTAAACATGGAGAAGGTGTTATGGTGTGAGGGTGCTTTGCTGGTGTCACTGTCTGTGATTTATTTAGAATTCAAGGCACACTTAACCAGCATGGCTACCACAGCATTCTGCAGCGATATGCCATCCCATCTGGTTTGGGCTTAGTGGGACTATCATTTCTTTTTCATCAGGACAATGACCCAACACACCTCCAGGCTGTGTAAGGGCTATTTTACGAAGAAGGAGGGTGATAGAGTGCTGCATCAGATGACCTGGCCTCCACAATCCCTCGACCTCAACCAAATAGAAATGGTTTGGGATGAGTCGGACCGCAGAGTGAAGGAAAAGCAGCCAACAAGTGCTCAGCATATGTGGGAACTCCTTCAAGATTGTTGGAAAAGCATTCCAGGTGAAGCTGGTTGAGAGAATGCCAAGAGTGTGCAAAGCTGTCATCAATGCAAAGGGTGGCTATTTGAAGAATCTCAAATATAACATATATTCTGATTTGTTTAACACTTTTTTGGTTACTACATGATTCCATGTGTTATTTCATAGTTTTTCTACAATGTAGGAAATAGTAAAAATAAAGAAAAACCCTGGAATGAGTAGGTGTGTCCAAACTTTTGACTGGTACTGTATATATCTTGATTAATTAGCTTTGTTGTAAAATGAAAGGTAAAATACACAGCATTTCAAACAGTCAGCAATAATCTAATTATTCAGGGTTTGTGAAATTAAACCTAGGCTAAATATAAGCCTTCCACAACCATAAGACCCACTAATAATTTAATCATTATATCTAAATAGTTTAACCTGCTTTTTTTTGTTGCAATAATCACTGATCTGGCTTTCAAGTCTGTCTATGAAAATGCCTTTTTTGTTACAAATTTAACCAGAACAATGCATAATGCACATTCACTAATAATAACTAACTTCTTGTAGCAGGTATTATGGAAAATTAACACAGGTCTCAAACAATCTCTCAAGCACAAGCCCAAATGCTAGGGAGTAGCCAGCTAATCTTAATATTTCAAGTTTAGCCAGCATGGATCTACAGTATTTGCTAGCTAACAAGGTAGAACAGTTTAACTGTCATGAACACACCCTTCTGTCCGTCTCCAACTGTTTGAACAGCATGCTAGCCTGTCCACTTTGTTCAGATGTTGAAATCAAGTGGCCTACCTTAATTCTCAGAATGAGAATGAGTTGCCAATTCCTTATATAATTGTGTTTTATGCGTAATGCACATTTACAAAACACAGACTAGAAAGTTGGTATCAAAGTCTGTGGGAGGGGCTTGGTGTGTGGGGGAGGGGCTTGGTGTGTGTAAATGGGAAGGTGCACAGTCACAGCAGAAGGAGCGAAGGAGACGAGACCAAAAGACACCATGAGAACAAGCGGACATAAACGATCATAAAAACGAAAAATATAAATACATTTGATTCTTGCTATCGTTCAGGCATTTGAAATATCGTGAAAAAACCTACATTCGAATTAATCCAATTAATTGTTTTATATCGCCCAGCCCTAATGACATGTCATATACACATATGGTCAGTGACTGATCAAGGGAAGAGGGTTATACAACTGCATTAAAAATCACAGCAAATATCATGGGTTGGCTTGAGGGAGGGAATTCACGAGAGCTGCACTAAATGATAACATTGACACAGAAACCATTAGATCTCATAAGCTGCCCACACACATGCAGCTTCACATGGCACAGTCTAGTTTTCAGGTTCCACTTATTTCTCTCCTTAGGTTTTTATCCTCACTTCTCCCAGGAAACATGGTAGGAGAAGGCCACTGGGCTCTCCTCAGCTCTCCCTCCTCAGCTCTCTCTCCTCAGCTCTCCCTCCCCTCAGCTCTCTCTCCTCCGCTCTCTCTCTCCTCCGCTCTCTCTCTCCTCCGCTCTCTCTCTCCTCCGCTCTCTCTCTCCTCCGCTCTCTCTCTCCTCCGCTCTCTCTCTCCTCCGCTCTCTCTCCTCAGCTCTCTCTCCTCAGCTCTCTCTCCTCAGCGCCGCAGCAAAGCCACAACACAAACAGCAGCGGCAATATCGGGCCCCAGCTGCCGACATGTCTGCTCAGCAGCGTATTTATTTAAACCTGCCGCTAGCCCTGGCGGTCCGACGCAGGCCTCGCCGGGGGCCTCCCCGGCTTGTTTGAGAATCCATTCACACCTGAGCATTAAATTACTGACACTAATGTTACTAGTAATGCTTGGACCGGCTCCCATTTTTGGGGAACCCATAAACCTACAGGAGCCGGGAAATGTGGACGGGTTCGAGAAAAAAATTAAGATCTTAGCTGTGGGACCAATGTGATACAGGGGGATAAGCATGAACCTGTCTGTCCTCTGGTTTGTTTTCATATTCCTCACATATTTGTGCCTGAGAGATTTTTTGAGATCTGTGTGTAAGATATGATAAGTGATATCACAAGGTATTATTCTAATGTACTGTATGTGCAGGTTTTTGCTGTATGTATGTCCATTGTCAGCGACTGAGATAGAGCATAGATAGAGCATAAGGGTATACAACATTGTACACATGAATCATTCATTTTAAAGCACACTACTCTATTCTCTTCCTCCCTAGGCTGACAGTAAAACAGAGGACACTGTCCCTCAGGGAGTTAGAGAGAGGTGGGGGAGGGACATTGTTTGACTGTTACCCTGGTTGCTAAGGAGTCTTTTGAACTTGAGAGGTGTGGAGGCATGAACACCTGTGTGGCCCCCCTCTCAAAACCGGTGGGATACCTTTCACCTTGTCTCACTCTGCAGCACTCACCGAGCGGACGAGAAGAAAATAAGAGGGTGCAGAGAAAGGAAAGTATCTAAGAGATGTCTCCTCGGCTGTCACTCGGGTCGGGGGTCAGAGGTCGGCATGGAGGGGGTATGTCAGGTGTTAAGTGGGGCAGACAGCCCTGTGGAGGGCTTGTTAAATGCCTACCTGGCGACCTGCTAACCTGCAGCCAGGTGGGAGCACAAAGCACACAGGGTTTACCCACCCATAGATGTTGTTATTTCTATATGACTGTTTTCGTTCTATTACAGTCAAAAATACTTTTCTTAGAGCGTGTGACTTTTCTTAGAGTGTGTGACTTTTCTTAGTGTGTGATTTTTCTTAGAGTGTGTGACTTTTTGTCTGTGTTTTTGAAAGAGAGAGAATAAGTGAGAGAGAGATAGAGGTGAAGAAACAATATAGAAAGAGGGAGCAAATAATATGATTCCACTGTAGCCTACTAATAAGAAGAAGAGAATTGCTTGGGCCAAGAAACACGAGCAATGGACATTAGACCGGTGGAAATGTGTCCTTTGGTCTGATGAGTCCAAATTTGAGATTTTTGGTTCCAACCGCTGTGTCTTTGTGAGACGCAGAGTAGATGAACGGATGATCTCCACATGTGTGGTTCCCACCGTGAAGCACGGAGGAGGAGGTGTGATGGTGCTTTGCTGGTGACACTGTAGGTGATTTATTTAGAATTCAAGGCCCACTTAACCAGCATGGCTACCACAGCATTCTGCAGTGATACGCCATCCCATCTGGTTTGCGCTTAGTGGGACTATCATTTGTTTTTCAACAGGACAATGACCCAACATACAGTGAGGGAAAAAAGTATTTGATCCCATGCTGATTTTGTACGTTTGCCCACTGACAAAGAAATGATCAGTCTATAATTTTAATGGTAGGTTTATTTGAACAGTGAGAGACAGAATTACAACAAAAAAATCCAGAAAAACGCATGTAAAAAATGTTATAAATTGATTTGCATTTTAATGAGGGAAATAAGTATTTGACCCCCTCTCAATCAGAAAGATTTCTGGCTCCCAGGTGTCTTTTATAGAGGTAACGAGCTGAGATTTGGAGCACACTCTTAAAGGGAGTGCTCCTAATCTCAGCTTGTTACCTCTATAAAAGACACCTGTCCACAGAAGCAATCAATCAATCAGATTCCAAACTCTCCACCATGGCCAAGACCAAAAAGCTCTCCAAGGATGTCAGGGACAAGATTGTAGACCTAAACAAGGCTGGAATGGGCTACCAGACCATCGCCAAGCAGCTTGGTGAGAAGGTGACAAAAGTTGGTGCGATTATTTGCAAATGGAAGAAACACAAAAGAACTGTCAATCTCCCTCGGCCTGGGGCTCCATGCAAGATCTCACCTCGTGGAGTTGCAATGATCATGAGAACGGTGAGGAATCAGCCCAGAACTACACAGGAGGATCTTGTCCATGATCTCAAGGCAGCTGGGACCATAGTCACCAAGAAAACAATTGGTAACACACTACACCGTGAAGGACTGAAATCCTGCAGCGCCCGCAAGGTGCCCCTGCTCAAGAAAGCACATATACATGCCCGTCTGAAGTTTGCCAATGAACATCTGAATGATTCAGAGGAGAACTGGGTGAAAGTGTTGTGGTCAGATGAGACCAAAATCGAGCTCTTTGGCATCAACTCAACTCGCCGTGTTTGGAGGAGGAGGAATGCTGCCTATGACCCCAAGAACACCATCCCCACCGTCAAACATGGAGGTGGAAACATTATGCTTTGGGGGTGTTTTTCTGCTAAGGGGACAGGACAACTTCACCGCATCAAAGGGACGATGGACAGGACCATGGACTGTCAAATCTTGGGTGAGAACCTCCTTCCCTCAGCCAGGGCATTGAAAATGGGTCGTGGATGGGTATTGCCAGCATGACAATGACCCAAAACACACGGCCAAGGCAACAAAGGAGTGGCTCAAGAAGAAGCACATTAAGGTCCTGGAGTGGCCTAGCCAGTCTCCAGACCTTAATCCCATAGAAAATCTGAAGCTGAAGGTTCGAGTTGCCAAACGTCAGCCTCGAAACCTTAATGACTTGGAGAAGATCTGCAAAGAGTAGTGGGACAAAATCCCTCCTGAGATGTGTGCAAACCTGGTGGCCAACTATAAGAAACGTCTGACCTCTGTGATTGCCAACAAGGGTTTTGCCACCAAGTACTAAGTCATGTTTTGCAGAGGGGTCAAATACTTATTTCCCTCATTAAAATGCAAATCAATTTATAACATTTTTGACATGCGTTTTTTAAAATTCTGTCTCTCACTGTTCAAATAAACCTACCATTAAAATTATAGACTGATCATTTCTTTGTCAGTGGGCAAACGTACAAAATCAGCAGGGGATCAAATACTTTTTTCCCCTCACTGTACCTCCAGGCTGTGTAAGGGCTATTTGACCAAGAAGGAGAGTGATGGAGTGCTACATCAGATGTCCTGGCCTCCACATTCACCCAACCTCAACCCAATTGAGATGTTTGGGATGAGTTGGACCGCAGTGAAGGAAAAGCAGACAACAAGTGCTCAACATATGTGGGAACTCCTTCAAGACTGTTGGAAAAGCATTCCAGGTGAAGCTGGTTGAGAGAATGCCAAGAGTGTGCAAAGCTGTCATATATTTTGATTTGTTTAACACTTTTTTGGTTACTACATGATTCCACATGTGTTATTTCATAGTTTTGATGTCTTCACTATTATTCTACAATTTAGAAAATAGTACAAATAAAGAAAAACCCTTGAATGAGTAGGTGTGTCCAAACTTTTGACTGGTACTGTAAGTCAAATGAATCAGGTATAAAAAGGTTGACACACTAATTAGTCTGCCAGGGAAAAGCACATTGTGGAATATATTGATGTTACAAGTACCCTGGTCTTCTAGTTGAGCTGACTTCTGTCTACGCTTCTCCTCCATGCGTTCCCTGTTCTGCTGTCTCTTGAAAAGCCTCTCCTCCTTGTCCTTGGCCTGAGAGAATAGAGGTAAGGAGGGAGTTTAGAACAAGTTTGATTAAACCCAGCCACAAAAACACTTTGTCAACAACTTTTGTATTTTCAGTATGCAGGCATTTATTTTCCATAAATATCAGCCTGATCCTGTCACTTACCGCTGACCGCCGACGCTGCTCCACGGTGACCTCATCATCAGAGTCGCTATAGTAACGGGAGTAGAGGAAGGGCTTGTGGACGTAGGCCTGTCGACGAGGCTTGCGCTCTGTGCTCTCCTCATTGTCTTCGTCTCTATTGGTCTTCTTCTTCTCAGACTTTTCATCTTGAGATCACACAGAATAAAAACGAATTACTGACGAGGAAATATTGTCTTCAATATTGTCCTCTAATAGCTTCGGTTTTCACTTGATATTTGAAATTGTTTTCAATTATTTGTATCTCTAAATAAATGCTTCTTACTGAGAAATAATACATGAACACAAACAGACCTTCAGATGAGACCTCGCCGTCCTCCGTAGAATCTGACGGTGGCTGCTCATCATCGCTGTCCTCCTCGAATGACGACAGGTCACTGGTGTGGACAGAGCTCACAGTGATGTCACTGAGGCCATCAAGGTCAGAGTCCTCCAGAGAATATTCTGATGAGGAAAAACACGCAAAATAAATTGGTAAACGGTACCTAAAACCCTGAGGCTTTAATGACTAAAAACCTGAGGCTTTAATGACTAAAACCCTGAGGCTTTAATGACTAAAACCCTGAGGCTTTAATGACTAAAACCCTGAGGCTTTAATGACTAAAACCCTGAGGCTTTAATAACTAAAACCCTGAGGCTTTAATGAATAAAACCATGAGGCTTTAATGAATAAAACCATGAGGCTTTAATAACTAAAACCCTGAGGCTTTCAATCCCTACTTAGTGATTCGACATTGTCATAGTGTAGTGATGATTTTCATCAAATTCATAAACCTAAACATTCAAGACAAGCCTTAGATCTCACCTTCTTTTAACCTCTCTCTGGCCTTCTGATTGATATGTTGTTTCTCATTGGGGGACTGAAGTGGATCAACATCCTTGTTCTGCACCTCCTCTTTGAGCTTTCCTATGGTCTTCCCCTCCTTTCTCTCTTCTGCCTCCTCTTGAGTCCCAATCTCTTCCTCATCACCCTTCATCCCCTCTCTCTCAGAGTCCATCTGCTCCTGTACATCCTCTGTTTTGTTCTCCATAGCCTGGACCTCTGACACAAGCTTTGATTCCTCATCTTTCTCCGGCGTCTTCCTGTCCTGGTCCTCTTCTCCCTCCTCCACCAGACTCATGTCCTGCTCTCCCCCTTCAGCCTCCTGCATCGACTCCTCTGGGTCTTGGTCCCTCTCAGAGCCCCCCTTGAGGACCTTCTCTCCACTGGAGCTGGCCCGGGAGCTGGCCTCCTGGTTCAGGGTGGTGATGGTATCCAGGATGGACATGGCATCTCTGGCCATTGAAGTAGCAGGGGCAGATGAAGGAGCTGGGAATCCAACATTTCCATTGAGTCATACAGACGAATGTTAAGTCAGACAATAATGCAAAAGCACACCATTATCAGTCACAATCCCATTTACGAACAAACACATGAATGGGGGAAGTCAAAGAAGGCAGTAGAATATATAGTGCTCTGCAAATTTAAAGACATTCTTCCTGGAATTGGACAAGACAATAATAGACCGATTTTTTTTCCTCCTAAGGACCTGCTAGAAGCATCCAACTGTATTTTACCTTGCACTGGCAGGTCAAAGTCTTGTTTCTCCTCCACAGGAGCAGGCGGGACAGGGGCTTCATCCATATAGCTGCCGGGGGACATGAATTCACGGACCACCCTCTCCACCTGGGGCCTGAAGGTGTGATGGATTTTGGGATCCACCACCTGAGCAACTATCCTGTCAACTCCCTGCTCCAGCATCCCAGACCTGCCACGAGATCAGAAGAGGATTCGGTTCATATACTCAAAAGCGGATGCACTGTCTCTTTTGATGTTCTAACATGACATATGATTTAAAAAGTGCTAGTAAGTGACTGACTAAAGAGAGATAAAGGGTTGCACATTCACAGCCCCTGTGAAAATAAGCAACCTGGCCTCAGACCGTTTCGTATTATTTTTTATGTAAATCCAAGACACTATAATAATATAATAAATAATTGGTCATTTAGCAGACGCTCTTATCCAGAGCGACTTACAGGAGCAATTAGGGTTAAGTGCCTTGCTCAAGGGCACATCGACAGATTTTTCACCTAGTCTGCTCGGGGATTAGAACCAGCGACCTTTCGGTTACTGGCACAACGCTCTTAACCACTAAGCTACCTGCCGCCCAATATGATATGTTACATTTCGTATGGTATGTATTCATTTGTGGATGTCCATCACCCATTTCGTATGATATGTTACGAATTACAATTTTGTTTATATGTTTATACAAATTTTCTAAATGTATGATATGTTACGAATTCTAACCTAACGGTAGCTAGCTCGCTAACGTTAGCTAGGTTAGGGTTAAGGTTAGAGATAAGTTTAGGAGTTAGCTAAAATGGTTATAATAATAATAATAATAATAATATGCCATTTAGCAGACGCTTTTATCCAAAGCGACTTAGTCATGTGCGCATACATTTTTACATATGGTTATTATGGTTAGGGTTAGCTAAAAGGGTTGAGGTTAGGGGAAGTGTTAGTTAACATGCTAAGTAGTTGCAAAGTACTAAAAAGTAGTAAGTTGAAAGTTGAAAAGCTGCTAATTAGCTAAAATGCTAAAGTTGCCCGTGATGAGATTCAAACTCTCAATCTTTGGGTTGCTAGATGTAAGCGTTATATGCCCACCAATCCACCCTACTTTCGTTTTTGCCTTAAGTAAACATGTCTTATGTAACCATACCAAACGTAACATATCATATCCTAAATTGAGTTTCTCGTATTTCGTTCGGAATAATACGAAATCCTCTGAGACCAGGTTGAAATAAGATGAAAGGTAAATTTTTTCTAAGTGCACATGCATAACCAAAACTTGTACTTTCTGTATAGGGCCATATGTGAACTGTCACGAATTACTTACTGAAGCACCAATTGTCGGATGTTGTTTCTCAACTGATTCTTGTTCAAGTGAGGACTCCATGTGTGGTTAGAGAGGTGATTGGACACAAAGTTGTCCACTCGTTGTCTTAAATTCAGGTATGCAGGCTAAAAATAGTGAATAACGTTAGCTAGTTAACAAACATTTAATCACAGCCATGTTTGCAATTTATTGGTTATGCGTGCACAAAATCCTGGCTGCACAACAAATTGTGGTAGGTCTGATCCAGAGCGCAACGTCTCGCGACCTGGAACAGAGGTACGATTCTGGTAGCAACTCGCGAAGGCAAAAGCTTTCGGACAATATTACTAATGCTTAGCTACTGTATCATGGCTAATTTTAGTTTACTTGCTGGCTAGCTACTTGTTCCTGTTTCATTCACCATTCATAACGGTCGTTACCTTTGTATCCACGTCTGCCAAGCAGTCCCTTCTAAACTGATCGAAAAGACCTTGCGTTTTCAAATGATTGACGATCATAGAGACCAACTGCGGGTCTCCAGGGGGTAAACCTGCCATCTGTTACTATACACTTTTGTTTTTAAAATCCAAAATAAAATAAATGTAATTAAACCACCACAAAGTCGCTTGCTAACTCCTTAGATTCTCCGTATTTTGATTTAGAACTAACGCATTTGACTCGGAAGTTGAACGATATGAAACCGGAAGAAAAATAACTAAATTACTTTTGCGACTTATAATTGTCGCCCTCTGTCGGTTGCGGCTAGATATAATACCAGAGGAAGAGGCGAAGCGAGATTTTACTCCGCCCAAAATCTGTTCACGAAAATAAAGCAGGAAGTGAGGAATTTTTGTATGGAGGTCAATGAGAGTGTCGAATCCGTTCAACAAAAAATGCAATTGCTAATTTGCTACATATTTGATAAAATAGAAGTTTTGTAATGGTTATGTTGTTATGAATGCACTGATATAAGTGGACGCACGTGGCATTTAGGCAACTTTGAAAAAAAACTACATTATAGTTGTGCCTGTTGTTCACCTTATCTGTACTCTCATTGTTCTTCTTCGATGAGGTACAACGCTGTGTACTACTCCCTTCACAGAACAGCGCAAACTTGCTCTTACCAGAATAGAAAGAGGAGTGGGAGACCCCGGTGCACAACTGAGCAAGAGGACAAATACATTAGTGTCTAGTTTGAGAAACAGACGACTCACAGGTCCTCAACTGGCAGCTTCATTAAATAGTACCTGCAAAACACCAGTCTCAATGTCAACAGTGAAGAGGCAACTCTGAGTTGCTAAGAAAAAGCCATATCTCAGACCTGGCCAATAAAAAGAAAAGATTAAGATGGGCAAAAGAACACAGACACTGGACTTTTTCTTTGCAACTCTGCCTAGAAGGTCAGCATCCCGGAGTCGCCTCTTCACTGTTGACGTTGAGACTGGAGTCTATAGTCAATAGGCACTAAAGATAGTTTAAGCGTCTATGATTGGGTTAGTCACATGTCTGGTATTTAGTCTGTCTTGATGACAGTGGTGTGTATACATGGATGCCAATAGAGGTCAGGCTTCCCAAAATATTTGACCAATGAACAAATACAAATTCTAAAATAATTCCTCTTTCGTCTCTCTGGGTTTTCATAATTCTCAAAAATTCGCAAGTGGCTGAATCTCACCAGAGAAATCATCTGAAAGAGGGAAACAGTGTCCCTCTGTCTCAGTATGTGTAGCCCATGTATCCGATGCTGTCTGGACCAAAAGAGTATGACGTTGCGGCCGAAGCATTTGATTGAGTGATGCCAGCAAGCATTTGGCCTCTGTTGATAAAACAAGTATAAAATAATTAGCCAATCAGCATTGAGGTGACCTCCACTGTGGGTTATCCTGGTGCAGCAAAATGCCCCCCAAGGGAGGCCAGTTTGGATTTGGCTTCACACCAATCAAATCACATCCTAAGCTAAATGTAATTTTAGTTTCTGGTCTGCTTGTGTTGATGTCCTGCAGTACCTAGCTTGCTAAATCGGCATTTTCCTAAGCCATGGATGGAGATGGGGATTTGGTATTGTGGTTTTGACTTAATTCTCTGTACAGGCCAATGATTATGACGGCGATTCTGATCTAACCATACATTAATATGATTTGCCACTGGCCTGAGACGATTGAAGTTCAATATGTAGCCTAGATGTAGCCTAGCCCTTTTAGGCTCACATTAACTAGCTAGCTAACTTAGCTGGTTCATTGTTGCCCATGCAAGGAAGTTAGGCTAGCAAGCATTTTAGCTAGGTAGCCTATGACAACAAAACCCCAAAACGTACTGTATGACAGAGCCATAGACCGTTTTGCCAACATTAAAGAGAGGAGGATGGCATTGGCGTTCAACTAGTCTACATGTAGAGTGAGTCCAATTTGTTTATTTACTTGCGGGCGCACGCACACACACACAGACAGACAGGAATCAGTACTATCGAAAGCCACATAATATTTAGCAACATTGATTGGACGATTGTTTTTATCTTTAAATATGTTTTCAGTTTACTACACTAAGCATATATAGCCTTGTTGATTTGATGATGATGAAATGTTTAAGTTGAAATGGTGCTGGAATAGCAGAGGCAGTGCTCCTGTTGTCTTTGTGCTGACTTGCGGTAACTCTGTGATTCTAAATCAGTAGTTGTTTAGTAAACTGTCGAAAACATTAACTTGCTTGACCATGTTGCAGGTCATATAACTGTTTGTTGCATGCAATATTTGCTTTGTGGCTCCCACCAGACAGATGTTGCTCTCCGGTTTTGTGATTAAACAAACATATGTGTAGTTGAATTTATTCTTCCACTGTGTGACTTGTCTTTTTGTTGTCACATCCTTATTGTATATCACTTAACAGTCAGTATCTGGATAACATGTGTGAAATGCTTGATCATGTATGTGATATCAACAGAGAGGTATATTTTCTGGGTGATTTAAATATTGACTGGCTTTCATCAAGCTGCCCAGTCAAGAAAAAGCTTAAAACTGTAACCAGTGCCTGCAACCTGGTTCAGTTTATCAGTCAACCTACCAGGGTAGTTACAAACAGCACAGGAATGAAATCATCAACATGTATTGATCACATCTTCACTAATGCTGCATAAATGTGCTTGAAAGCAATATTGTGATCCATCGTATGTAGTGATCACAATATAGTAGCCATATCTAGGAAAACCAAAGTTCCAAAGGCTGGGCCTAATGTAGTGTATACGAGGTCATACAATACGTTTTGTAGTGATTCCTATGTTGTTGATGTAAATAATATTTGTTGGTCCGTGGTGTGTAATGAGGATCAAACAGACGTTGCCCTTGACACATTTCTGAAATTGCTTATCCCAGTTACTAATAAGCATGCACCCATTAAGAAAATGACTGTAATAATGATTAAATCCCTATGGATTGATGAGGAATTGAAAAATTGTATGGTTGAGAGGGATGAGGAAAAAGGGATGGCAAATAAGTCTGGCTGTACAACCGATTGGCAAACGTACTGCAAATTGAGAAATCATGTGACTAAACTGAATAAAAAGAAGAATAAACTACACTATGAAACAAAGATAAATGACATAAAGAATGATAGTAAAAAGCTTTGGAGCACCTTCAATTAAATATTGGGGAAAAAGGCAAACTCAGCTCATTCATTGAATCAGATGGCTCATTCATTACATATCCGACTGATATTGCCAAATACTTTAATGATTTTTTTCATTGGCAAGATTAGCAAACTTAGCCATGACATGCCAGCAGCAAATGTTGACACTACACATCCAAGTATATCTGACCAAATTATGAAAGACAAGAATTGTAATTTTGAATTTCGTAAAGTGAGTGTGGAGGAGGTGAAAAAAGTATTGTTGTCTATCAACAATGACAAGCCACCGGGGTCTGACAACTTGGATGGAAAATTACTGAGGATAATAGCGGACAATATTAACACTCCTATTTGCCATATCTTCAATTTAAGCCTACTAGAAAGTGTGTGCCCTCATTCCGCTACGTAAGAATAGTAAAGCCCCCAATCAGCATGTTACCAACCTTAGTAAAGTTTTGGAAAAAATTGTGTTTGACCAGATACAATGCTATTTTACAGTAAACAAATTGACAACAGACTTTCAGCACGCTTATACGTAGGGAAAGACATTCAACAAGCACAGCACTTACACAAATGACTGATGATTGGCTGAGAGAAATTTATGATAAAAAGATTGTGGGGGCTGTTTTGTTAGACTTCAGTGCAGCTTTTGACATTATCAATCATAGTCTGCTGCTGGTAAAACTTGTGTTATGCCTTTACACACCCTGCTATATTGTGGATAAAGAGTTACCTGTCTAACAGAACACAGAGGGTGTTCTTTAATGGAAGCCTCTCCAACATAATCCAGGAAGAGTCAGGAATTCCCCAGGGCAGCTGTATAGGCCCCTTACTTTTTTTAATCTTTACTAACGACATGCCACTGGTTTTAAGTAAAGCCAGCGTGTCTATGTATGCGGATGACTCAACACTATACTTCAGCTACTACAGCAACTGAAATGACTGCAACGCTTAACAAAGCTGCAGTTAGTTTGAGAATGGGTGGCAAGGAATAAGTTAGTCCTAAATATTTCAAAAACTAAAAGCATTGTATTTGTGACAAATCATTCACTAAACCCTAAACCTCAGCTAAATCTTGTAATCAATCATGTGGAAATTGAGCAAGTTGAGGTGACTAAACTGCTTGGAGTAACCCTGGATTGTAAACTGTCATGGTCAAAACATATTGATACAACAGTAGCTAAGATGGGGAGAAGTCTGTCCATAATAAAGCGCTGCTCTACCTTCTTAACAACAATATCAACAAGGCAGATCCTACAGGCTCTAGTTTTGTCACACTTGGACTACTGTTCAGTCGTGTGGTCAGGTGCCACAAAGAGGGACTTAGGAAAATTGCAATTGGCTCAGAACAGGACAGCACGGCTGGTCCTTGGATGTACACAGAGAGCAAACATTAATAATATGCATGTCAATCTCTCCTGGCTCAAAGTAGAGGAGAGATTGACTTCATCACTACTTGTATTTGTGAGAGGTATTGACATGTTGAAAGCACCGAGCTGTCTGTTTAAACGACTAGCACACAGCTCAGACACCCATGCATACCCCACAAGACATGCCACCAGAGGTCTCTTCACAGTCCCCAGGTCCAGAACAGACTGTTGGAGGCACACAGTACTACATAGAGCCATGACTACATGGAACTCAATTCCACATCAGGTAACTGATGCAAGCAGTAGAATCAGATTTAAAAACAGATAAAAATACACCTTATGAAACAGCGGGGACTATGAAGCAACACAAACATAGGCACAGACATGCATACACACACATGATAACATACGCACTATACACACACGTACACATGGATTTTGTGTTGTAGATATGTGGTAGTGGAGTATGGGCCTGAGGGGGCACACTTAGTGTGTTGTGAAATTTGTAATGAATGTATTGTAATGTTTTTAAAATGGTATAACTGCCTTAAGTTTGCCGGACCCCAGGAAGAGTAGCAGCTGCCTTGGCAGCAGCTAATGTGGATCGATAATAAATATGCTGGTGTATGAACGAATGGGTTATAGAGCAAACAACGCAAGTATCACAACATAGGTTGTAATA